TAGAATAAGCTTTAGTAAAGTCCAATGCTTTATCAGACTTTCTGCTCATTCAAAGATATTAAAAAAAAAAACAGCCACAGAGTAGTCTGCCTTGTCTTGTCAACATTGCATGAACAAGCCCAGAGACAACAATACTAGCTGTCCACCTTGATGCCTTTGTTCTTTTTTCATCCTTTCTGCTGGTTCCCTGCAGAGTCTTGTGAACAGAAACGGAAAGGTAAACAAAATTCCCCAGGAGACTTGCGATGACATGTCTGATCCATCAGGAAACTAAGCCTTAAGATTTGCTGACATGGCCAGTCCTTTTTTTTGGAGGGGGGGGAGGCAGTTGATCTCGGCCTGGCTTTTGTCTTTAGCGGCACTTACTGCTTCCCAATGTTTGCTCAGAGTTGCCTCTTCAACCAGGCAGCTGGGGAACATGGCAGCCTAGGCCAATTCTAGCGTCTTAACATGTAAACATGGAGACTATCAGGGATGGGGACTCGCTGTCAAGTTGAACTTAAGGAGACACAATTTGTTTTTTTTGTTGTTTGTTTGTTTGAATTACTTGTACTTGACGCACAACTCAGACCAAGTGTCAGAGCCTCACAAGCCTCAGACCTCCCCACACATATTCCACACAGAACCTGCCCAGCCCTTTCCTCTTTTTTTGGGGGGGGGAAGCTCAACTTTAATAGGGACTCAGGCTTGGGGCTTGCTACCAAGGGTTTGGACTTAAACCCAAAGACTTGCCAGCATCCCTGGAGACTGTTTATTCCAAAGAGGCAGCTATAGAGCAGAGAGACGATGGCTGACAGTTAAGCACAAAACGGCAAGTGGTATAATGTGAATTCGAGATGAGAGGCTACAAAAGTCAAACAGCCCTTTGATGGTACTATAGCAGCTCTTAAGAGCTTTGACTTTCCCTACTGCCTGAAAGGCCAAGCACGGCATTAATTAGCTAATTTAGAGGGGAGACAGGTGATTTATTTTTGAAGCCAGCTTGGAGCGGAAAGAAATTTGAATGGGTGGGGCATTACTACTTCTTGAGTACCACTTCAAGGGCCATTTGGAGCATCGTCGTGGGTGAGGGGGGGAGGTTTCTGTGCAAGAAGGATCAACTTTTAGATGTAATCAAGATTAAATTACATCTGAAACATACTTTTTGTTGCATAATGTTTGATCCCTCAATAGCAGTGAAATGTAGATTATCTGGAAGTGTTGTGGTATGTGGTTTATACCAGACAATGGAATTGTGCGGTCTCTGCCCTTCCCTGAATGGACATTTTGGTTATTACTGCCACATGAAGGCAGCTTCAATAGCTCACATTTCCCCGCCCATGTCTTATCATGAGAGGCAATGTATTCTCAGTAGAAGCAGCCCTCAGGCAGTGGCTTTTAGGGAGCTATTGAAAACATGAGAAGACATGGCTAAATCGATGACAGGGAACTCTATGGGAACTTCTGTCCAATCCAGTGAAGTTAATGAAAGCAATGAGCTTCTTAGGTGTATTCCATTCCTAATTAACAGAATTTAAACATTTTTGAAGGACCAAAGAGAGAGAGAGAAAAACTTTGGCCTTTCAACTCGAGGTTCCAGGATGAAGCAGATTTTCTAGTTCTATTTCAGTCTGGCTTCAGGCCTGGCTACGGAATGGAGACAGCTTTGGTTGCCTTGGTGGATGATATACACTGGGAACTGGATAGGGGAGGGTATCCCTGTTGATTCTCCTGGGCCTCCCAGCAGTTTTTGATACAATCAACCATGGTTTCTTTCTGGGTGCCTTCTGGGATGAGCCTTGGCGGGACTGTTTTACAGTAGTTCTAATCCTTCCTGGACAGCCAAACTTAGAAGGTAGCGTCGAGGGAATCCTGTTTGGTTTCTGGGTGCCTTCTGGGATGAGCCTTGGTGGGACTGTTTTACAGTAGTTCTACAATCCTTCGTGGACAGCCAAACTTAGAAGGTAGTGTCGAGGGAATCCTGTTTGACACCCTGGCCATTGGTCTGTGGTCCCCCAAGGTTCAGTTTTGTCCCTCATGCTACTCAATATCTACATGAAACTGCTGGGAGAGGTTGTCCAGAGTTCTGAGGTTTGGTGTAATCAGTATGTGGATGACATCCAACTCTTATCTGTCATTGTGAGAATGGCTGATGGTCGGATTCCAAAAGATCTCCTGTATGGAGAATTAGTGCAGGGAAATCGCCCCAGAGGGAGACCACAGCTGCGATACAAGGACATCTGCAAGTAGGATCTGAAGGCCTTAGGAATGGACCTCAACAGATGGGAAACCCGGACATCTGAGCGTTCAGCCTGGAGGCAGGCATTGCATCACAGCCTCTCCCATTTTGAGGAGGCCCTTGTCCAGCAGGCCAAGGCAAAGAGGCAGTCCTGAAATCAGGAAGATCAGGGAGCTAGACGGGGTACAGATTGTATTTGTCTTCAGTGTGGAAGGGACTGTCACTCTCGAATTGGCCTTCTCAGCCACACTGGACGCTGTCCCAAGTCCTCCATACAGAGCACGTTACCATAGTCTCTCGAGACTGAAGAATGGCTAATCTCTCATTTCATTTGAAGGAGGCTGTTTTATGCCTGTTGTCAGTAGTGGACTGATGAGAGTTTACAAACTGAAACTTAATCAAGTTAAGACAGAGGTGATCATGATCAGTCACAAGGCAAATCAAGGGATAGGGATCTAGCCTGTACTGGATGGAGTTACAGTATAATCCCCCTGAAAAGTCAGGTCTGCCGCTTGTGTATGCTTTCGTATTCAATATAAGATCTCAGCAGTGGCCAAGAGTGCCTTTGTAGTTAAAGCTGGTGCATGAGCTGCGCCCATTCCTTGAGCTATCCGATCTGGCCAGTGACACATGCCTTAGTTACCTCTTGCCTGGATCACTGCAATGTTTTACATATTGCTACCTTTGAACGGTGTTTTTAAACTTCAGTTGGTTAAAATGCACACATGCCTTAGTTACATCTTGCCTGGATCACTGCAATGTTTCACATATTGCTACCTTTGAAGAGTGTTTTCAAACTTCAGTTGGTTAAAATGTTGCAGTCAGATTACTGACTGGCACTGGTTACAGGGAGCTTATAACACTTAACACAACAGCTTTATTGGCTGCCAGTCTGTTTCTGGGCCCAATTCGAAGTGCTGTTTATGACTTATAAAACCCTTTACAGCTTGGGTCCACAATATTTGAAAGATCGTATCACTCTGTATGAGGTGTCTTAGTTTTTAAGATCTTCAAGGAAAACCCTTCTGTGTATTCGCGAAGGCTTTCACGGCCGGGATCTAATGCTTGCTGTGGGTTTTTTCAGGCTCTTTAGCAGTGTTCTGAAGGTTGTTCTTCCTAATGTTTCACCAGTCTCTGTGGCCAGCATCTTCAGAGGACAGCAACCTGTGCACAGAGTGCTGTCCTCTTAGAACACAAACTTCACAGAGTGCTATCCTCTGAAGATGCCGGCCACAGAGACTGGTGAAACGTTAGGAAGAACCACCTTCAGAACATGGCCAGAGAGCTCAAAAAACCCACAACAACCATGAAAATCCTTCTCTCATTTCCACCACCTTCCTAAGATTATCCTCCTCTCAGTTCCACCACCTTCCCAAGCTTATTTGCTGGACATGAGAGGGGGCTGCTCCTAGGCTTTGGAATGCACTTCCCCAAAAGGCTAGGCTGGCCACTGATCTCTTCACCTTCCATCATCAGGCAAAGGCTTTTCTCTTAAGACTTTTAAGCAATAAGTGGACATCTAGGAAACATTTGATTTATGAAAATTAGCAATTTTTAAATGTTTTTAAAGTGTTTGTAATCTTGTATTTAATACAGACTGGTGTTTTTAATATAGTTTTTGCATAGTATTTTAAATTTATTAGCACTGTATAGTGTTAATGGTATTGAGCCACCTTGCGTCCCTTATGGGGGGAAAGGTGGTAAATAAATCGTACATCCCAGAGATCATACATCTGCAGTAACTTATTTTCTCTCTACACACAGCACCTGACTAGTACAAAAAGAGAACAGGACCCTTGTGTCTTCAAGCTGAACTGATCCCATATCTGGCTTTACCATTAGGCTGAGACCAACAGTTGCCATAGGTGAGATGCTGGGAGATGTCTGTAAGATGTTTAGTAAAATGTTATAGGATTGCTGTTTACTATTGCTTTCCAACAGCAAGGACTGAAGAACAGGCCAACCACTGGCCTCTTATCTCTTCTTTTATTATGAAATAGTGGAGGGCACCATCTTGTTCTCTGCTTTAGACAGCAAAATGTTTTGGGTCATAGCTTGTTACTATTTGATTTCATTCTGGTACTAACCCTTACTGGGATCATGTCATGTTGAATGACATGTTGAATTATGGAATCTGTTATCTTTGCCTGAGAGGTTTATTAAATCTCTTGTTAAGTCTCCTGGGGGACTCTGTTATCCTAACCAGGTTCTGACACATGTTCATGTTGCAGCCGTCCCGTTTTTTTTTTTAAACTATGGGTTGCCATAGGTGAGATGCTGGGAGATGTCTGTAAGATGTTTAGTAAAATGTTATAGGATTGCTGTTTACTATTGCTTTCCAACAGCAAGGACTGAAGAACAGGCCAACCACTGGCCTCTTATCTCTTCTTTTATTATGAAATAGTGGAGGGCACCATCTTGTTCTCTGCTTTAGATAGCAAAATGTTTTGGGTCGTAGCTTGTTACTATTTGGTTTCATTCTGGTACTAACCCTTACTGGGATCATGTCATGTTGAATGACATGTTGAATTATGGAATCTGTTATCTTTGCCTGAGAGGTTTATTAAATCTCTTGTTAAGTCTCCTGGGGGACTCTGTTATCCTAATCAGGTTCTGACACATGTTCAAGTTGCAACCGTCCCATTTTTTTAAAACTATGGTTTATACTGCTATGTAATCTTAGAACACAAACTTCACAGCTTTTACTAGTGGTGGGGTGTAAATGTATACATCAAATCCATAAACATTGCTCTCTTTGAAATTGTGGATAAACAAGCCAATGTTGTTTTCTGAAATTTATTACAAAGAAAAACTCAGTAAAAATGTTCGATCATGCACTTTAGAAGCCTCAAATGCCTTTGGGTTATTTTCCTATGAGCAGCAGTCTGAACTACTAATTTAAAGTACCTCCTGCATAACACACATAAGGAGTATATTAAAAACTTGGTTCTGATCCAGAAATATTGAGACTAATTTCATTGATACCAATGGGTCTTAAGCACAACACTCTTCGTCCATTAAAATATTGTAGTTCAGACAAAATATACAAGAACTGTCAGTAAGCTAAACACAGTACCTTATTATTATTTAAATACTCTGAGCCACGGTGTGGGTATTAGTACTTCTTTCATTTTTTCTACCTATGCAAGAGAGCATTTTTAGAATATCACAAAATATACTATTCCCATTCGCTATTCACAAACAGAGCTGTTATACTGCTGTGCTCCAAATAATTTAAACATACTTTAAGCCATCGTTAACCACATATAAATAAAATACATTATGAGACCTCCACAGGTTAGTGCTTTACACAGAACTCAGTTTCCTGATCCATTCTGCTGTTTTAAACGTTTTGACATTTTAAATCACTTGTAAAGTAGTGGTCCAAAGTAAACATGCGAAGTTCTAATTTTGGAGAAATAGGGGGAAACGTTTTGAATTGCCAGTGAGGGAACATCTGTAAAGAGGAACCAATGCAAACCTAGTCAACATGGGACTCCTTCCAACACTCTGAAGACAGAAAAGCAACCTTGCTGGATCTGACCAAAGGCTTATGTAGTGCCACCTACCTCTTTCCACAGTAGCTAACCACATTGATTCAGAAAAGAAGCCCTCAATTAAGAAGGCAACTGCCTCCTTCTACTGCTGCCTCCCAAGAAATTTTACTCAAAGGAACACTGTTTTTTTCCATTGGAGGTAGCTACAGCTGAAGAGGGTACTGGCAGCCTGATCCTCTGGGATTTTGTCTAATCCTCCCTTGGAAAAAACTAACTTAGTTACCATCTGCACATCTCTTGGCACCAGCTTCTTCCATTGGTTTCACTGGACTGAATCTTTCTGTTATTAAAAAAGAGAGTGTGCACAAACCATCTCTCCATCTACTTTCTCCAGAGCATGGAATAATTTAATACCCCTCTATCACACCTTGCCTGACCTTGAAATGGAAAAATGAAACAAAACTCAGAGGCTTTGGGCTTTCCATGCAGGGAAGATATTTCAGCCTCTCATTTTGGTTGTCCGTCTCCAGTTAGATACTACATTTCATGATCTGGGACAACCAGAACTTGGAAACAGGACTTTTTTGATTTACAATTCCCAGAATCCTCCAGCTAGGATGGTGAATAACCATGTTAGATGGGGGAAATCTTGTGATATCAAGAGGAAAATTTTCCAAGGACTAATACAGTACATAGCATTCCAAGTGTTTTTTTTCCTTTTAACTTTTCTCCATCATGGTCTCTGTGAACCCACACTTAGATGCGTAAGAACCCAGTGTGAGTTCACAGCTGGCCACTTGAAGACCCACAATTACACATAAGTAATACCCAGTATTCCAATTTAGCCTTAGTGGAAATTGACATTTTCTCAATTAGGTCAGTTTGCCACAACATTTGATTTAAAAAAAAAGCTGTTTGGTGTTGTATTTCCCTGAAACAGTTCATTTATACAGCTTCACTTATAAATTTAGCCACTCTCAATTAGGGAAACAGGTGTTTATAGTGGTACACCGGACTGCTCCTGTATTCCAATTTTATGGAACAATTTTTTTAGAACCATTCCTTTCCAAATGAACAAAGCAGCCCAGAACTGAGGGTGACATCTGGGTGAAACACAAGTCAAATGACAACAAATACATTCCAGATTCCAGTGTCTTAAAACAGGTCAATACAGCTGAATGACTTCTTCCCATTCATCAATGGGCCACATCCCATTGGGCTGGACATTGGGTGGTGAGTTCTTCCAGTCCCACTCCTTCACAGGCATCTTCCAATCCTTACCATAATTGGCTTCGATATAATCAATGGCCTCACATGGCACACGAACTCTGAGTTCTATAAACTCAGTCCAACACAGAGTGAATTTGGGAAACAGGTACCTGCATTTTTAAAAAAAGGATGAAAGGGCCAACATGATACAAATTAACATCTTGGCAATCAGTGTAATGTAAAATACAGTGTGGACAACCGACACAGAAATAACACTCTAATAAATCTATGTTTACAATACAGATCCTGTATCCATTCAGCCTCCTCAACCAATATAAATTTTGCCTACTAAACAATTCTTCATGATCTATATTATTTTGCATAATTCAGTCTGTTTCTGCTACTCATAGAAAGCGGGAAAGACCTAAGCATGCAAGCTTCATAATTTTTTGCACTTCAGATTCCAGAATTCATCAGGAATTTCCCCAGCCAGAAATCAGGGACCTACAGGCAAAACCTACAGGTTTTGGAAAGCTTCCTTAGCAACCTCCATTTTGGTTGAGAAGAATGAAATGGCTGAGAAAGACTCAACTGCAGGAGAGCCAAAAGGGGTTATGGGACTGGTAATCCCTCTGCCGATTAGGCTCTGTATAGGATGCATCTTCAAAAAAACTCCTAGCAGTTCCAGAACTTCTTGAGATTCTTCTGCAGGTGAGCCTCTCCCAGACACTTCCTCCTTTCTCTCAGCCAAGACAGAGGTCACCAAGGACAGCATCTGAGGCCTACACCTGTAAGTGACTGAAAACACCTCTGAGAACTTTGATTTCTTACCTGTAGATCCCAGGATTCTGGCTGGAGGGAATTCCTGGTGAATTCTGGAGGTTGCAGTGCAAAAATCTACATAAGCAGCATACTCAGAAAGAGCTATTCAGAATGCTGAAAGCTGGTACTGTACTCTAGACTTTGGAAATCATAGTTAACAACTCCTCTGGCTTCTAACATTTGAACATGCATTTTAAGCACTCCATTGTCATAAGGACTAGAACCCCTTTTTTGCTGTTCTTGTTAACCAACAAAGAAAAGAAACCTTAGATTTTCAGGAAGCTGAATTTTATAACCTAACCCATTTCTGAATCAAAATATAAATTGCCCTCAAATGACACACATTCCAAGATAAACTAATAAACCCTAGAAACAGAATCAAAAGTAAGCATAAAATTTGGAATAAAATATTACCAATCATCTAGTAATGGACAGAGCAAGTGAAATTACCTTGTGGCCCTAAAATTATAACACCAATATTTATTTAACTTACTTAAAATATTTTTACCCTGCCTCTCGCCTTAAAAAGGATCCAAGGCTGCTCACATCATTAAATGACAATATTTAAAAGCTAAAACAGTAAGTATACAAATATTAAAAAGAATCAAACAAATGGCACACAAAAAATGGTAAACGAAATCAACATCAAAATCAGATTCAAAGCAACAAGGCACAACACTCCATTTAAAAACCCTTCCCAGACAGCCAATAACTAAAGGAATGCCCGTCTGAAGAGAAATGTTGAGGCTGGTGACAGGTAAATGCGGTTCTCTCTCTGTGTATGTGTAGCCCTGGTGGATCCAGAGCTCTTCCACTACTGAACACTGCCCACCTCTACCTACTGCAAGTGCGAGTATAAATCCATCAACAACAATTTTTAGTAACTTCATACAGCTGAACAACTTGGGAAGGTGTGAATGAGCAAATGAATAAATATTGCCCCAAAGATTCAGCAACAGCCAAATACATTCAGCGGCTGGGCATAAAGAAGACACATTTCCTTCCTCTAAGTTGCCTTGAATTCTTTCTCAGCCCAGAAACAATGCAAGCTGCCTGCCACTCGTTCCAGCCTCTGCAGACTGCACTCCACAGACCTATTCCAGGTCATTGTCAGCAACGCAGAACTATTTCTTCTCTGACCAACACCAGTGAATGGATCACAATGAAAACAAAACGAGGTCTCAACAGCAGAGAAATGGTAGGAGGACAAAACAGCTTGCTAGAAAAGCGTGCTTAGGTTTTTATTTCTCCTTGAAGAAAATCAATGACTCCCACGTAGTACTATAAGGTGCTCTTCTTATAGCATGGAATGATCAACAAGGTTTTTACAGTCAGAAACTAAGAGGGTGTAAATTGATTGATCCAATATGCTCGGGGGGGGGAGGACATTTCCTGATAATGGCACTCTTTCTTCAAAACCTTATTGAACTATATAGCACTTATACTAAAAAATATTTTTCCTAGTTTCCTGTGTGTGTTCCAAGAGCACAATTAATACTGAGATTTTCAAATTTCTCTCTCTCTCACACACACACACACCCACCTACCACAATTCACCAAAATTTCCCCCAAGCCAATATTTTGATGACTGTAGCCAAAAATCCAGGTCCTCAGAGGAGTTTCGGCACTCCCACCTGAAGGCAAGCAGTTCGATAGTAAGTGGGACTTCCTAGTCTTCCAGGGGAAGTGCAAGGGATTGTGGGACTGGTAGTCTGTTCATTAGGCTCTGTACTTGATGGCTTTCTAAAAGTGGCTGCAGAGAAAAATATGCTGGGACTCGCAGGTGTCTGCTGAAACTCTTCTGAGGAGTTAGATTTTTTTGGCTACAGCTGCCAGAATTCTAGCTGGGGAAATTCCGGGTGAATTGTGGCAGTTGTAGTGGAACCCCATCCATAAAGAGATTTATTGTTAAGTAATGCCACTGCTTTTAAAACTGTTGGTCCTTTTCCCATTACTTCAGGGACCAGTGACTAATCCTTAAATTTAGTTTCCCTCTGCAACACATTCCTTCCTTAAAGCAGTACTTTACAAAATTCTTGCCTTCAGGTAGTCCTTGCCACACTGACACAACTGCTCAGGAACATCTGTACATCTGCCATTAGCACTTTGCAGAAGATCTTGAACCTACAGTTCAATGGCAACAACATGGTCAGATTTGTAAGGCTCCACAACTGCTCACTCAGGCCAAGGTCATGAGCTAGGACAGTGGTTCTCAACCTCTGAACCTCCACATGTTTGGGGCTTCAACATCCAGAATTCCTGATCGTTGGCAATCTTGGTAGGGCTTCTGGGAGTTGAAGTACAAAAACCTCTGAAAGGGAAAAGGGTTAGAACCACTGACTAAGGGGGGGGAAATGCACCCACCAAAGGAAGACTGGTAATGGTCAGCCACTTATTTTTCAAGAAACCTGTCCACACTTACTCTCCTTTCACTGAAGACAACCAAACCAAGAAACTTCTTATAAGTCCCTATAAATTTTCACAAAACACTGTGAAAGTGAAATGTACAACATGCAATTGTCTGATACTTGATGGGTGTTACTTCTGTATTAGCAGTAGCATACAGCTGCACCATGCCGCTTCTAAGATTATCACATTATGACATTTGTGAAGATTGCTTTCTTTCCCCCACAGATTGCCAAGTCTGAGCCATACTTGAATTTCTTGCCCGATTTGGCCTGAGTTCCTCCGTTCCACATATGGTCATCCTCTTCATAGAAGAAAAATATATCAAGTTTCACATCATCTCCTCCTGACTGAAATGAGAGCTCCAAACTATCTTCTACCTGTTGAGAAAACCAAAAAAGACATGTGCAATAGAACACAGAAAACATTATAGGATAAAGAAAAGTACTGACAAGTGGCAGTAGTAGCAGATATGACAACTTTGCACATACACAATTTGTATGAGGTTTCAGGATCAATTGGCATGTGTAATACATCGTTTCAAACAGTGTGCCTAAATGGATCACTTCTGTTCTGAAGAATAAAAGGTGTGGAGTCCCAGTTCAGAATCTACTTCTGACTGGGAGTTTCCTCCTGAAAAGCTACATCCTTTCCCAATTTTGCAGTAAACAATACTTTGTGGGAAAAGAGATTTTGATCTGGAAACTGGCATACAACCAGATCTTAATCAGGATTACATTTCAGTTTGACAATTTATTGGTGCTTTGGAAATAAGACTGGTCAGTTTAAGCACATTTAAGGACTCAAACATATTCTACATAATCTTTGTGCAAGAGAAGTGAAGAACAACACACTTCTGCACACCAATGAGGGAACTGCTAAAATGGAGTCCAATGACCCCAACCAAGGAAAACGAACACACTGAGAATAAAGACTATTTCTTTCATTCCACCTCTCAGGGACAGTCTAATACAAGGTACTGTCAGGACGTGGCTCGTGGCTCGCCCTCGCACACAACTGCTACGTCAGGATTACTAGTGGAGAGACACTGATGTGTTATGTAGTAGAGTAGAGCATCGTCCACTAGTTGTCTCGACCACAAAGCATTCTTCCGTAAACAGCCTGTTGTTGCACCGGTATGCAAGCACCTTGACAAAAGGATTATAAAGGACAGCAAAGCGCCAGCTGGACAGTTTAATCCACCAACCTTGCCAAACTTGTGCTTTAGTGGTAATCCTGCCTTCTGAAATGCTGGAATCATATCCGACTTATAGTCTTGAATAAAAATCCCCAAATCCATATCTTTGCTGTAAGGAATAATATTGCACTGTCTATACCAACCTAAAAATATAGCAGATATATGAGCAATATGGCAAACATTCAAGGTATAAGTTAGGTAAACTCTCCAGTTGGTACACTGTTGAGCACACAGAGGTTCCTAGCTTCCCAAGCCTACAGAGAGCGTGGCTCAGAAAGAACATGCCAAAACATTTTGTAGGAACTGTGCAGAACTATTTCCAATTCAAAATGTTCAGCGTTTGCTATACCACAGAAGGTACATTCCAATCTTATACATTAAATTCTGATTAACAGAGAAGTACCCACGATTGTATAAAAAAGCCTAGGAATCAAGAGTGATGATTCAGGCCAGAGTTTCCTTTGGACCAGCCACCCATTCACAATCTGACAAGAATGAGATAAACACAATAATAACCCCCTCTTTTGCATTATCGGGCAATTAGTATTGACAGGCCGAGTGCATGCGATATGGCAGGATGACCCTATCTTGCATGCACTTTTCTAATCTCCCTTTGAGGCTGTTTAAGGCGACAGCCACTAAACTCTGCACTATATGTTAGAGGAACACACTTCCCTTTGGCCTGCCTTGACCTCTCTCTCACTCAGGTTCACACAATGTAGCACAAATGAACTCAAGTGCTTGGAGCGCATTTCCAAAATCTGTTTGGTTTCAAGACGTTCCACCATAAATAAAGATCTCCTACTTGCATTTCCAGTAGATATGACTTATTTAGTTTACAATAGGCATCATGTACATTTACATCATTGCCTTCCAACCGTTTTCCCTTTCCACATGTACCCCAAGAAAACGAGTGACATTCTTTCTGATAACATTCCCTGCTTTCAAAGAATACTGAGAAATTCAAGGCTTGAGTCTGCTTAATCATATATCACTTCCGGTACTCTGGTTTGCACTTCAGTTTCAGCAACATTTTCCAATGCTTATGGCTCATTTAATTTATAAACAGCACAATCCTACACAAACCTATCAGGGAGCAAGTCTAACTAACTGGCATAAACTTTCATGGACCTTACTATATTTTTTAAAATCCATGGAATAATGCAGACATATATACTGACTTTCCAAGGAAGAATTTTAGGAAGTGAAAAGCTAGAACCTGAAGAGTTGCTTAGGTCATGGAACAGCCTCTCATAGTGTCTGCTGGCATTTCTGATCTCTCCCCAACACTCTTTATTTGCTGGATTGATTCAATCCTCCACCCATTCAGCAGCCATGCTGGAACCAACAAGAATGCTCCAGCATCTAATGTGATCTCCAGCTCCTTCCTTACCTAGGCATGTTCCACTGCTCAGCCAGAATCTCATTCCTAAGCCATTTAATGTCAGAGCAGCAAGGTGCAGCAATGCCTTGGCTTTTTTCCTGAATTCCACTGCATCGAGGGATGCGTCATCAGGGTACACCTAAAAGGGCAGGGAACACAGTCATGAATTTTCAGACTGTTCTGCTTAACGTCCAAATTACAAGTGCATACAGACATGAGAAGAGAAGAAAAGAGAAGTTGAGAGAGAAGAGGAAGTTCACTTCTAAGTTTGACAAATCAGTTGTCTAGGATGTGTTAAACTGTGTAGTGAAAGGTGCAACACATTTAAAAAGTGAATCATCATTCCTGGAAGCTTCCAGGAACTGCAACTCAACATTTTATTAAAAATTTTTTACAGAAAAAATGGATGGAGGCTGCAAATATAGTGTTATCTGGGAACAACTGGATAATGTGGCCACAATGGTATTACTTTAGTATAGTAAGTCACAGTTAGAGTGGGCCAATTTGAATCAATGGAACTTACAATGGAGATGACTCACTAAATCCACACTGATTCAATGGGCCTACTCTAGTCCAGTTTACTGCACTAAGTGACAGAATTTGCCTTGAATGAGTCAAGGCAACAGAGTCGGTTTTCCTGATATAATTAGATCTCTCCTTTCCAGTTACAAGTTGCTTTGAAAATACTTTCAAAAATAAATACAGAAAAAGATGGGCTGTAAAGACATTAGAAGAAAAGCTTATGTTAAACATTATTTTTATAAAGAAAACGGTATTTTTAAAAACAGAACCAAAGATAAGTTCTAAGTAACAAGACTTCCAAGAACATTTAGTCTTGCACTTACCAGCCTTTGAAAGCTTATAAAAACTGATGCCACCACAGACAAAATGTTGCCCTTTAGTGGGGTAAATGAGCAAACTTATAACAAAGTCCAAAAACCTTTGATTCCAAGCCCCATCAAAAACTGATTGGCAAAGTACACATTCCCCTTATTGCTGCTCCTTACAGTCATCTGTAAAGAATTTCTGAACCTTCTACAAACCTGAAGGTACATTTCAATTGTGGCAAGAACCTTTTATAAAAATCCCAGCTACTCTCTTCTCCCTTCCTGCCATGTTTCAGAAGGCACAGCATGGTCTTGTCTCCTACACAAATACATTACTCTTTGTTACACACTGTATTCTCATCCTGTGGCGCCACCAAGTGTTAAGCCACACAGTAATTCTTAATGCAATCATAGTAAGCTTTGGCTACAGTATTGTGCTCAACGTTTGCCTGACTGTATATTTTCCTACTTTAAATTTAAGCTGTTGGTAGGCAGTAGGAAGGACAAATTCAGTAGGTTTCATCCAAGGTAAAGAAGATGGCTGCCAAGCTCAACCAAAAAGGCTTGTGTCTGTGGGCCCTCATGTTCTCTGTCTAATTAAGCAAGACCAACCTTGGGACCCCACATGTTTTTGAATTACAACTCCCAGAAATCCTGGCCAGCACAGCTAGTGGTGAAGGCTTCAGGGAGTTTTAGTCCAAGAACATTTGGAGAACCAAGGTTAGGACTCTTGACAGAGAGAAAAGTATGCCTGAAGAAGTTCACTGGATCCAGGGTTACAAATCTGCTTTATGTTCCTCACAATCCTAGCCATCTGAATGGAGGGAGGATATAATCCTAACAGATATTGAAATAATAGCTATTTTGGTCACTGAAAAAGAGTTTGACTTTCAAGACATTCCGTAGGAGTCATCTAGCAAAGGTAAGCCTGCGTTGAATGTCTCAGTACAAAGTTACAACAGAGGAATAAAGGCCTCCCCCCATATGTTTTTTTGGAAATACTGTGTGCCCCCATTTCAACGGTTAACTCTGACAAACATAACCATTTAGCAGAAAAAAACACACAGAAAAAAGAAAGTAGACAATTAATGCTGCACTTAATGTTCTCATTTTGGAAATACTACTACCTGTTAACCACTTACCTGGAAGAAAGATCGAGCTTCTTTGTACCTACATTCAACAAACCGAGAGTTGAGGATTTCTTCTAGGAACTTGGATGGCTCTTTTGGAATCTGGACCGTTAACCCATCAATGGAAACATTCAGTAGTTCTATCCTGTTATGAAAGGAAAGACAGTATAATATTCTTCTGATCAGAAACTCTTATCAAACTACTGCCAAGCTCACATCACTGAGCTGACAAAACAAAAAGGAAAAAAAACAGCAATGCAGTGGTTACCACCTGAGATACATAAACAGAAAAGGCTGCTTGTTCATTTTTATATAAAGTCTCCAACTCTACTCCATCTATTCTTGGCAACAAAGGATTCTGAAATATTTCAGCCTATTTATGGTAGTCAGTGGCAACCTGAAACATGTGTGTGCTATTTTAAGTTATCTTAAATGAGAGCAATTTAAAGCTTTTCATTTGAATATGGATTAAAGCCGATTTTACAATTGTGCAATGTTTATTATTTTAACTGCAGACTGGGAGGACACAGCACACAGAAAATAAATAAATAAAACAAGAAGTGAAGGGACAGGTTATGCTATACTGTGAACCAACTGAATTGCTTTAATTGGATGGATTGACTGCTCCACTACACCAGAGACAGCTCGCTGTATGTAGAATAGAAGGCAGCATTCTCATGGTAGAAATACAGTATGTGCCTTTCCTAGGGCAGAGTGATTCCCCCCCCCTTACTATTTTAGAATAGCGCATAAACAGATTTTAAAAATTATTTTTGTGTTCTATCCCAAAAACAATATTCAGAGGTACAAAACCTTTTGAGTTTGAGCTCTGCATATTGAACTTCCAATCACTGGAACAGCTAACAGCCATAGTTGGATAATTCCCTTATTTAAAGATCTGTTTTAATGTCTGCCTTGTCGCTACAGCCCAATAATGTCACTAGCAGTAAAAGAGGAGAAGAAAGAGAATAATGTTGTCATGTTACGTGTACTAGTGAAATGTAAAACTTTTTCATTAAGGAGGTAGTTGTCTTCAAAAGTGTTCATAACTGATTTCATCTGCACTAAAGAGATAGCACGAGGCAAATATAGCTATAAAACCTCAGAAATCAAAAACAGTAAAAAAAATACTCCTAGTAATCACACTGAGCTTTTAAAAAATTCATCTTACTTCTCATAGGCTCCAGGGTAGCGGCCAAACTGTAGCTTCCGGAAAGGTGCAAACTTCCGATCCATGTGTGGTTTCAACCGCAGTGGTCCATGCCAGAGGTAGTTGCCATTCCTCTCATAAAAAATCACAAGATGGATGACATGAGTGGCCAGTCTGAAGATGTAGTGCAGGGGTATCTCAGTCCCAGAGAGGTCATCCATCCCTTCTAGGCGGGGATCCTTGCTCTGTATCTTCAACCACTGGAATCCCACTCTTTCAGCAGCTCGAAACAAGCCCACCTACAATGGACACACAGCTTTCGAGTTCCATAAAACTAGAGTCCTACTTCAGAACACCCTTGTTTGACAGCTGATGCAGAAACAGGACCTGACAGGGCAGAAACATCATGCAACGATCTCACCATCTCTATAAATTGTTCTTCACTATCTACAACCAAGCTTGCATCTGTCATTTCTTCCACTGTTTACTCAAATTGAACTACCCAAGCATGCTCCAAGCTCAAAAATGCTCTTGGAAAAAATCAGTAAATATATATTATTCTGTCAACTCCATTCAGCTTATTTGGAACCGTCTATCTTGAAAGGAGTTCCCCCCCCCCATTGACTAATTTGCTCACTGCAAAAGATTCTGGGACACATACGGCATTCAAATAATTTGATCAGATCACAGGTCTCACTGTCACCCCATCACTTCGGTCTTTCCTTCTCAGAGTTCTCCTCCTCCCTCAATCTCCATGTTCCTTCCATTTCCACTTTGCTCACTCGCCGTTCTTTGCAGGCAGCACTACCTCTCCTACCTCTTGCTGAAGAGTCCTGAAGTCTCCTGCTTAGTGACTGAAAATGGCACTACGGACAGATGTAGATGAACTACAGTTCATGGTTGCGATGGGTCATGACATCATTTCCAACTTAAGGCAACCCCAGTTGGATTTTCAAAGTATGCGACCTGTTCAAGATGTGGCTTCCCATTTACACACCCAATGAGGAATTTGAACCCAGATCATGAACCCTATGCAACACTATCTGTTACACCACATTACTTTTCTAAAATTAATCAATCAATTAAAAACAACAACTCTGATGTGCACATATCTAGTATCTTCTTGGCTGGACACTAGGTTTGAGGTTGGAACTACAGCACAGATAGAGACAAACTCCCTCCTTTATTATGACTGATTTCTGTTTCTGAATTCCTTGGTGTTTTCTGTAATAAAAACCCACCATAAACAGCCAATATAAATATGCTCATATAGAAAATCAATGCTGGGTAGCTTTCCTCCAATGCTAGATAAAATGAATTCTATTCTTCCTGTACTTAATATTTTTAAAGTTTCTGAAATATCTTTCTCCCAAGTTAGGCAGCAAGACTATCTCCCATGTCTATGAACATTCAATAGTATTTAGTCTCCTTCTCAAAATCTCCACTGACTTTACACATTTTGACACATGCCACTCAATCTATTTTTATATGCATTTCTACCAGTTAGTTCCTTTCTGAACAGTGATGTTATTTTTGAGACAAGGGAAAGTTACACAATGGCCTGACAGCAAGGCAAGTAGAACCTGCAGCGGCAGCAAAACATTTCAAGATTCCCTAAAGACCAAAAGAAAGGGGTGCCATCTTCAAATGTGAACAATTGGACCATCTTCTGAGAGAGGTCTTGTTTGCCTAGCAGTAAGGCTGCTATGTGGCTTCTTCTTATCTCAAAGATTGCTGGGCAATGCATGGTGACTCTCAGTGTTCCATCCAGACATTAAAACTGGTTAAACAGCTGTAAGCCACCTCATGGCTATGTAAAGCTGTAGGGGATAAACTTACTTCAGGTTTCCAGGCTTTGTCCAACAGTGCAAACGTGGTGTAGTCGCGCGGAACACAGAAGTACTTGCATTCTGACTGGCCGCCATCAGTGGAAGTCCGGAGCTGTCCCAAGTCTGTCTCTATCAGCCCCAGAAGCAACGGATCGATCAAGTGCACAGCTATGTTATGACTAGACATCAGACTCAGGAATTTCCTAACCACATACTGTTGAAGGAGACAGAGAGAAGAAAAATGCGTATTAACAGTGGAATATTTCTTTGAGAGCTACCTTTAAAAAAATGTTTTTCTGGGACAACAGAAGCTGCCTCAGGCTGAATCAAATCCATGATTCATTTAACTCAGTAACCCTACACTAGGGTTCCAGAGAGCCTCCCTTTAACACTCACAACAAACACAAAAAGATTGTGCAAAAGGCATTTTCACCATAGTTTCATGCCTCTTAGTTTATTTTAGGTTGTGGGAGGGGCAAAGTTTCAAAATCAGAGTCAATGTCCAGTAACTTATGGTTCTGAACAGTAGTCTCCAACCCTTTTAACCCTGTGGACCAATTTAGCGTGCATGGGAGCGTGTCTGCGTGTGTATGCGTGCAGGCGTATGACTGTGGGTGGGCATGCAGGGAGGATGCATGCATGGGGTGTGTGCGTGCATGGATGCAGGGGGCCTCTGCATGTGTCTGTGTGGTGTTTGTGTGCATCCGTGCGTGCATGCGGGGGGCGTCCATGCATCCATGTATGTATGAGGGAGTGTGTATGCGTCCGTGCATGCGGGAGGGTGGGAGATCTGTCTCCACGGTCCAGTCCTGCCAAGGCCACGGACCAGCACTGATCCACCCCTGGTTTTGAATAAGGCCCCTGGGCATAAAACTAATGTGCAAATGTGTCACAGAATAAATTATGGGGGTATTAATTACAGGCATAGGTACAGGGCCCCAAGGTTCCAGATGTCTGGAAGCTGCCTGCCCTGGCCTAAATTGTCCAACAATAGCTCTAACAGGGTTTGCAGAAAGGATAGGACCTGGCCCATGCTGCAGACACTGCATATACTCCACCATGAAGCTATCTACAGTGTCACTAATGGCTATAATTCTAATTGTCGCCATGAGAGAAATAACTGTTTTAGGGTTTACCCAAAGACTAAGGTTGGTGAAACCAACTTTCAGTCTGGGTTTCAAGGAGGCTACCGAGAATTACAAAGTCCACTGAAAAGAAGTCTGTCCAAGATGTTTAGGAAGAATTAAAATCAGAATAAAAAGAGAAATGCACTTACCCATCGACTACTGTCTTGCCCCACTTTGCTCCCTTTAATTTTCGGGAAAACAGCTCCATTCTAACATAACAAAACAGAACAATAAGAATAACTGTGCTATTTTTTATAACCTTTCAATATTAAATTCAAATATTTCTCTAATTCCTTCAAAAACTTTACTCCATACCTTTCGTATCACTTGACAATTCCACCAGAAATCCAAATATGTACCTACTTCTTTATCACATCTCCAGCATTTCTAAAGAGTACTTAACATCTATAACATTAATTTTTTCCTGGTGCTAAATACCATCTACACACTATTTTATAATCATGTTCTTTTATTTAGATTAACATATTTTTAAAACTCCTTCTATTCCAAATTTTCTTCCAGTCTTCTTTATCTATCTTCCCTAGATGTGTATCCCACATTATTTTTAGCCTTTCTAACTGCCCTCACTTCTATCAAACTTCTAGAAATTATACAATTTCTTCCTTTTCACTTTCTCTCATCTATCTTATTGTCCATAATTCTTAACTAGTTTACTACCTAATATTTACTGATATTTGGCAATCTTAAACCTCCTTTTTTGTGATACCATATCTTTTTATTTAGTCTTGTTTTCTTCCTCTGCATCACAGAATGCATTTAAGATTCTTTGTATTTTTTTTTCAATTCTTCTGAACATCTGGTAATATTTTCCATTTTACAAGGTGCAATTTTACCAAACCAAGATAATTTCATTCTTTTGCAATTCTTTAACTTATCCTTTACGTCTTTCTTTATTCTATCCACATTTATTTTCTTCAAGTCTTGCATATTTTTTGCAGTTGCTACTCAAATATCTAATACTCTGATACATTAAATTTAAATGAGTTTTTCCTTTTTTGGTATTTCTTTTCTAGAATAACTGCACAGCATCATTTCAGATTTGTTCCAATTTATTGTTAGCCCACTTAATTCTCCAAATCCCTTTGAACGTTTCTGTGTCCTCTCTATGACTGCTATTGGATTTTCTATGGTCAGCAAAGCAGCATCTGCGAAATTTATCTCACATTTTTGTCAGTTTCCAATCCCCTTTATTTCCTCCTCTCTTCTTATTGCATTCACCAATAAATTCCATGATTAATGCACCTGTAAAATCTCCAAAGGCACATTTTTATCTGACAGCATCTTCCCCAGTCCCTCTATCTTGTGCCATCGGTGCACGTGACGGCTTTACAAAAAGGACACATGACGTTTCTGCCCCAAAAGCTTACAGTCTAAGACAGAGAAACAACTAAGAACATTGATGAAAATAGTGGGTAGTACATGATTATCTCAATGGCCCATGCCCTGGTTTAGTTACAAGTACAGGGACTACAGGGCTGAGCCAAACACTTGCCAGAAAAAGTGAGTTTGGAGGGACGACTATAAGGCAGGAGCTGACACTGAAATCTGCCAGGAAACAAGTCTAGGTATAGAGGTGGCTTGCAAACATTAATCTCATTGACAATCCTGAGATGGGCAAGGCTGCTGTCATTTTCATTTGAAATTCCCTGAAAACAATACGCAGCGTGAATGTGTTACAAACATAGGCCAAAATCCTCTTGTATAACTATGCCAAAGACATAAATCTTTTAGAGTTGAAATGCCCCAAGAAAGCTCTGCAGACATTATCTGTTGCACGCTGAGACAGAGTTACAAGACGACTTTAACCACAGCCATTCTCACTGGGGCCCATATAGTCCCCTGGTACATTTGAAGGGCGCCTCAGAAAGATTTTCCATTCTTTTTCTAAACATCTATTTCTGTTGTATTCTTGTTTGACAGTGGGTCCAGAAACCTAAGAAGAAAGCGCCATGGACCAAAAAAAAAAAGTTGAAAATGGCTGTCCCAGAGAATGATCCAAAAGGGGCATTTCAAGAGTTCAACGACAAAGACATTTATGAAATATTTATACTTTATGCATTGTTTAAAAATGAGTTTTGTCATCTGATCATTTTAAAATGTCTTGGATATTAATCGATCAAATCCGAATTTTTGTGTGTGTGAGAAAAAAAGCATATTTTAAGAGCAAACACTGCTTGAATAAATGGGACAAGACAGCCACGACTACCTTAATCGAGGCACAATCAGGCCTGATTCCAATCTCGTGCTGAAATGATGCATGTGTACTTTGGCATCACCTTAGAAAATGCACTCTCCCATAGAGACAAAATACTGTAGGAGTATTAACAACTCCTGAGAAGGTGCTTACCACCCACAGTATTTGTAGCACCCATATAAAGAAGTTACATGAAGGGGAAAAAAGCAGGAGTGCTATAGTGATATGAGAAGAGTGTTAATTGATTAGTAGATGGAATACAGTCTGTAGTCCTCAAAGAAACACAAATTGGTGTCGTGTTGCTTTCATATTTTGCAATACGCAAAGAACTGCTGTGCAATGAACTGAAAGGGTCTGTCAACAACACATTTAACAATACTCCCCGGAAAGAACACTTACATTTGACAAATGTAAAAGCATGACTCTGAATAAAAATCAAGATATACAGGGCAAACCAATGTAACTTTCTCTATGCTCTCTCAGACTTAAGCCTCACTGTACTCAGTACAACTTATTCCTTTCGAAGTGTCCTTAAAATGCAAACTTAGTTTGAAAACTAACTAGGGCAGTGGAGGCAAACCTTTTTCGGCTCAAGTGCCCAAAATGAGGGGGTGGGGAAGAAACTAGTGGCTGCTGTGCCGCCCGGAAGACCAGAACTGGAACAGGAAGTGGCAATTTCTGGGAGAATCATGGGGACAGACAGGAAGTTAAAGGGGGAATCATGGGGATGGGCAGGAAGTTAAAGGACCCAGAACAGGAAGAGAAAAGGGGAATCCCAGCTGTAGCCACTTTAAAAGGTTTGTCCCATACCAGAAGAAAGGGCTTCGTGTGCCAGCTGTGGCACGCGTGCCATAGGTTTACCATCACTGAACTAGGGCCTTTCACAACATCAGCATGTATACCTGTGAAATGTAGTGAAAGCAAACCGATTCCAAACAACAATTCTAGAAAACAAACTAGGAATGTGCCAGCATTCATTCCAAAGCTCCACTGCACTTTGACCAGCAAAAAACGAGACCGTGAATAAGAATTTCAAGATTCCAAATTTTAACCATGTTTCTTTCATACAAGCCTTACTTGTTCCACTGGGGTTTGCTACCAAATAACTATTCTTTCAACTGTAACCATCATCATCATCATCATCTTAGAACTGCAGTGCTGGAAGGGACCCTACGGATCCTCGTTCTTTGTTTCTACCACACAAGGACAACATAATGTAGTTCATCAGATAACATTTTTGAACAGTATAAACACTTGTTTAATTTAGTCATGCTGAACCTTGGGTTGATTTGATTTTTTAAACCAGGAGCTGGAACAATTCTTACCTTTGGAGACAAATAATACTTATAATAGTACAACTGAAACAAGAGGAAGACTGAGCTTGTCAACGTTAGAAGGCCCAAAACTAAGTTCTTGTTAATTCTCTGCATTAGTCTTCAGGGTTCTTTTGACCGTTATTTAAAAGCAGCAGCCTGGACTTTTTCATCTTTGCAGGTGACTTATTATGTATCTCTGCTGTGGAAACAAAGATGAGGAAAAATTTTTTAAATTTGAAACATTTCAGTATTTTGACACTATTTATAAAGAACTGTTTATTACTATCCACTTTACTCCAATAACCAACTCACAACATCATTTTACTTGGCAACTCAAAAAATAATGACATTAATATACAGTACAGTATAAGACATTGAAAATGACATGCAATTCAAACACACATTACAAAACAAAAAGGACCTAGCTATATATGAAAAATAATTCATTTTAAAAGCCAAGAAACCAAGGTTAATTCACCGTCAAAGGACCTTCTTCAACTGAAAAGGTAAAACGACATCAGATGAACTTTTTTTTTGCAAAGATCGTTGCATATCCAGGGTGTCACCCTTCCTCTGGTTATTCACCTCTCTTCATTGGACAAGGTACTTATGGAAAATACAATATAATCCTTGTGTGAGTGTTCACAATGTTAAAGAAAAATAGAACACCCTACATTTTAATTCTTTTCAGGATTTCTACACTTGTTCATAAAACAAAGAAAAACAAATCTTTGACTGTATGGCACTAGATACTATATAATAAAGTACATATAGTTAAGAAAGAGGGGCACAAAGCCTCTGAAGCCAGTCACTTTTCAGACCTTTTGACAGGAAAAAAAAAACTTGAAAATTCTGGCGTTAATCTTTGTCAAAGGACAAACGCGACCCGCCTAGACACAAGTGCCTACATGAACATAAAACAAGCTACATCTGAAACAAGGAATTCCAGACTTCCCCACTGTCAGAGATCCAGGCCATTTATTTTATTTATTTATACTCTACTTTTCTATGACAAAACAGTGTTCCAGGCTTACAATCTTCATAACTGGAATGAAAAACATGAAACCAAACTTAATCACAGAAGCATTAAAATCCACCAAGAAGAATGCCATCATAATTGTTAAAGTCAAAACAATACAGCAGAGCAGATTAAACAGGCGTCTTTCCATCTTTCTTAAAAGCAGTCTGGGTGGAACCAGATTGCAATGCTGAAGGGATTAAATTAAACTTCCATCTGGAGCCTTCTCCTCAGTGCCTGTTAGGTGGACCTCTGCCACCCTTGGGTCTGTCCTGAGGATCTTAAGACAGGCTCATCATGAGACAGGTAGTCCTCTGTGAAACAAGACAAGATTCTTCTTCTGACGAACCCTGAAGAGCAAAGTAGAAGAAGCAGCACATGCCACCAACCTATCTGACAATAAATACCTCCTCACACTAAGCAAGCCTCTCAAGAACACAGGGGATTTCCACACAAACTGTTTACACCAGCAATTCCTTTTTTTAAAAAATCAAGTCCACTGCGCGCATCTAAACAAAGCAAAAATCCAATTACTTACCTCCACCACCGATATCCTTCCTTCCTCGTCCCTCTTGATGCCACCAGGGCAAAGACACCTTTTTATTTCGCTTTTTTCAACGTTGTGCTTGGGAATATCACACTGCCACCAGTGGACTCAAGGCTACAGAGACAACGGCTGCTTCTCGAACAGGTAGATGATAGATGCCTGCAAGAGGGGGAAAAGAGGGGGCGGTCAAAAGTGGAAAGCCGCCTTGGGTCCGTCTTTAAAGAGAAAGGCGGATTAGAATACAGTACTTTAAACAAATAAGGGTTTTATTCTGGAACCATATTCAGGAGGAACTTCAATATCCCTGTTACGCAGGCTGTATACCGGAACATCATCATCATCATACTGGGCGCTAAAAGGTGAGCAAGAGAGGGAAGGAAGCAGTCCCTGTCTCCACACCGCCACAACAAAACACACACACATACACAGAGCGAGGCGCCAAAGCCTGTCCAACACACCCTCCGTGTCTCTCTCCCTCCGCGATTCCCGTTCCTCTCACCTACTGCGCCACTGGCCAAAACCTCGTTTCTCCCCAAAGCCAAGGGAGCCTGGCTTCTTGCAGCAAACCTTAGGCGAGCCCACTCTTTACGGCATCGGCGACTTTGCGACGAGGATTGCTATAGAAACGGAAGAGGAAAGCGCCTCTCTCCTAGTATAGCTCTATGGTTAAATACAGCCCACCTTACCTCACTTCCGGCTTGTGTTGTAACGCCTCGGTCTAGCGAAAAGGGTGGCAAGGTGGAAGGCAATTGCCACGCCCCCTCCCTCTCACGTGATAACTAACGTGTTTCGCTTGGGGGCGAGACTTTTTTCGGCCCAGGCAAAAGCATTTGACTTTTTTTATGGCGAATGGTGGCCGTTTTTCCAAAGGAAAGGCAGGTTGAGCTTCGGCCACTTCCAGTGTCTTTTCATCCGTCGACAATCTACGGCTTGGTTTTTGTTCTCTCGACAAACGCACTTGGTGTCCCTTCCCCCGCCCCCAAATTTTCAATACCTTTTAGCTTGGAAACCCTGCAACACCGAGAGGGAGCCCCCCCCCAGGAGTTTGGTACCTTTCAGACGAAACCCTGCTGTGACACACAGTGACCTTAATACAGTATTATTTAGACGTTTGTAAACTAGATCCCCGTTCATGAGAGAAGGGTTAAGAGGAACGAATGTTCAGAAAAATACAGCTATTTCCTTCTGCAGTTTAAATCCATCATCGTTTTTAACACTATAGAACGTTAAACAAAGAAATGTAACTTGCACTGAGGTGTACAACCTAACTACTATATGGACAGTTACTTATGCACTACTTCCCACATTTCTCCTGCTCAGATGTGAGCTGAGGAACCTGCAACAATCACCACAATGTACTCTTAATATACCAGCTTTTTATCTTAACTCAAAGTAAAGTCAATCTTCTTTACCAACAATTCCCATAAAATAGTGCTCCGCCTTATCGCCAAAGAAAGTAATTTCAAACTGTTGCTTTCTCCATTATCAACTGGCAGTGAACAAATGCAAGAATGTGGCTAAACACTATCCCAAACCCTCATCATGTTCTGACCTGCATGCAGTCTTGTACCACATAAAGATATTCTTTATGCCAGTACAGTATATTGGAGCCAATCTAGTGTTCCTATATTTAAAGTCATACTGATGATGAGATGGAGAACTTCCATGCCCAAAGAAACTAGTTTCTCACCCCCTTCTAGTGATCTAGGAAGCTCAGAAATAACACAGTAACAGATGTATTTGTTTTCAAAAGTTTATTTATTAATACAAAACCCCTGTAAGATGTGTTCACAGCAAATAAAAACACTCCATGGGCTCTAAGGCACCCAGCTGTATAGTGTTGCTATGGAAGGTAGGACTGTTTATTTTAAGGATACTTGACAAGGATATAGACCAAAGCACTGAATACCTGTGGTACTATCAGTGCACAATTTCCCTGTTCAGTAAGACTAGTGTGATAGTAATACACATTCTATTCAACATCTTATGCCATGAACAGAGTAATGATACAGAGCCATTTTGAAAAGGCACATGCAGAAGTGTTTCCAGAGGTGTAAACTGAACAGTCAATTCCTGGGGCAAGAACTGCCCAGTGTTTGAGATAGGAAGGAGGAATATATTTAAGTTTTATCCTTAAGTCAGTAAATTTTCAGAACAATTCACTTTAATGCCAAGAACAAAAATAATGAACAGAAGATGTAAAATTAACAAGTGTAAGAACTGCACACTAATACACTCAGGTGAAATACTACTACACTAAGTTACAACTTGCTAGTATTTTCCAGGTTACAGATTGCCTCCAGTCTGTTCTATATCATAAAAATAAATCAAAGTACAGTACTAGCAGACAGGGTAGGGAACAGATCAGAGACAAAAAGATGGATTTGATATGAACAGCTTCACAACGCAGTCCTCAAGTTTAAACTGAACCACTATCTTGTACAGTTACTGTATAACATTCAGGTATTTAATCGTTAAATCTTATTCATGATATCTTTAGTGTAGCTTGGGTTTTCAGTTGCTCTTCTGAAGCACTTAGCAAGCTCACATAACAATAGATGTAAATTTAACTGAGTTTCCTATTCTGTGCTGTAGGATGCAGCCAGGTTTTGTTACACAATTATATTAAAGTGATGAAAGTTCATAATTTCTGAACACTAAATTAGCAACATACATTTGTTTTTTGTTTTCTGTAAATATACAAAACAAGCCTTAATTAGCTACAAATACAAAAATACTTTGAATTTTACAATGGGTAAGGAGACAAACTATGTACATACTGGGAGAATATTAAGCCTTATTATCAGTCTAGTATGTCTACCTGAACACAGTCAACACAATCAAACTGAGTAACCACTTTGCTTCATTGCACTAATATCAGTATGCTTTTCCCAGAATGAGAATCGATCAGTGTTGTTAGCTCAACAGTTTCATAATCTTAAGAAAAAGATATCTAAAGTGCTTAAGGCATTTCCTCCTGTCACCATACCCAATTTCATTAAAGTGATATGGGACTACTCTGCTGAGCGATAGCAGAACTAAACAAGTATTCCTCAGGCTACTTCACAGTAATTATCCCAGTAAAGGAGAAACAAACTATATGAATGCATGTTAAGCGCCTTCAAACGCTTGTACCGCATTTGGAATAAATATACATTGCAGATCATTGAGTTGGAGAAAATTCACAAACCGGATAGACTGTGTGTATATGCACATCAGGGATGAGGATTCAGTTGATTTTCCTTTTGGACCATACTCAGCAGTTAGAACCACCTTATAACTAAACGGCATCATTAGCATTTTAAAGATACCTCAACAGGATCATGAATAGTATTTTTAAAATCTTTGATATACAATCATCTTCCATATAGTATTGTCTCTTGATCTTCAAAGCAATTATCAAAAGTCTTTATTTTACACAGAGGCAAGAATAATAAAAACTTGAGGTTAAGTGCTCTAAGTACAAAAGGAAGTAGGAAGTAGTGTCAGAAGTACAGGTGGAATATTGCACTATTTGGTGTCAGGCTAGAGCCAATGGTGCTTCTTGACTGTTGGAATACATAACACTAGATTGAGGATGGCTTTTGAATGATATGAATTCTATTGACATGAGAAACTTTTGTCTGATTTGCTGCAAGGGGACTCTTTGCAAGAGGAAAACTTAGAAAATCAATTTGACCAGTAAAGCTACATAGAGAACTTTGATCAAGCAATTTACATAGTTCATCTGAATAATTAAATATCTACATTTCTAAGAGTGCACTATCAATTTATCAAAAATTGAAAAATACAAATATGCTTTTTATCCTTTGATGGAATTCTCTGGAAAGAGCCCCCAAATCCACTGAATGATTTTTTTAAAGATTAACACCAAGTACTGCATTTCAGGATACCACCTGTAGCCTCAATATATACTTCTGATACTTTGAAGGGAACACAAGAATCATGGAGCATTCAAAATTGGAATGTATAATCCATAATTTATATTTTATATTTAAGGGAAAACATTTTAAAAGCATGAAACTGATCATTAGCAACTTCAATGCTAAATACTATGCTGTGTAAAGGCATCTGATGCACCCAATAGTTGATCAGTTACATAACTCCATTGAGCATAGTTTCCCAGGCTCAACATAACTACACATGTATAAATGTCAATCAAACTATTTATAGATAAATTAAAGCAACATGACTTGAATGAATTCTTGGCATAAGCTTACTTCCTAGGTGTCTCCCCATTCAGAAAAACTGGAGGGCTGTTTTTTATCAACATGGATGAGACTGGATGCCAGAGTGTGGCTTAATCCCTTAATTATAGAATAAACTGGAAATTTAATGTACGAAAATTGGAAGCATTAAAAAAAACTCCTTAAGTTGACTGTTAGAAATACTATGGGTTTTCAATAACTGGAATACACATGGTATCTTCTATTCCACAGAATTAGTGGACACTGCCCAAGCACTAGCTTAAAATGCAGTAGTTCTAATGACTATGGAGATACTGGAAATATAACAGTGTTGCCTGACAGTGTAGTAGTTACCCTGAACCAAAGGACACTGATAAAACTTAGTATTTGCATTCCTTCACCTCCTATTTTAAGAAGTTATAGAAATTTAGACCAGCTTTTGAAAATTCTAATTTTTAAAGCTTCAGTGCATGATCCCTAGCTACGAAGTGGATATTAGAAATCCTAGAGAGAGAAAGCAACAAAGGCTTCTAGGCTAAAGTCCTAGCTGTCTTTGTTATACATAGTACTGACATAATCAGGCAAGCATCCATAAAGACAAGCAGTCAAATTTAGTCTAGCAGTAGCACACACCTATAACCTCAAATATCCCCTTCTCTTAAGAAGAGCTGTTTTCCTATAACACAAGCAGATTCATGGTCAATCCTGCTAACACTTCATCTCTGCTCCAATCGTTTTGCAGTATCGGTGCTTGGGCCTTAGAAGTAGCAGCAACACATTAAACCATCCCTCACCAATGCCTAGCATAGTTAAACTAGAAGGGGAAATATCACTGGGCAACATTGGTTAGGCTGCTAGCAGAACCACTTAATCCATTTTCACTTTTCTGCATTGTTCTCACAGCAGTTGGCACCTGAAGTCCTGTTGTCAATGTGAGACCACCACACCAAACCTAGAAAACAGACGTTTCAAAAAAATTTAAGCAGGGTTTTTTAAATGTAAATAGACAACTAAAGCGTCTACATTCAGGCAGTATTAAGTGCATGGAAGGAAGGGAGTGTTAGATCTCTACATGAAAAGGGAGATAGTTTGAGGAGGAGAGCCATAACTCAGAACTGACTTGATGGCAAGTAATTATTATTATTATTACATATATTCATTATAGTTCAGATTCTGCTATGTTAAGAACCTGAAAGCAGCCCCAAGTATCTGTAGCATTGAAGTAAGTTTTCTGTATTGTAATTTTTTTTTGTAAGAATTAACTTAGTTAATAATGAAAACAGCAATTCAGGCAGCAGCTGGAAAGAGAGTTAATCATGTAATAACTAATTAGATACTAACCATGAAGCCTGGTAATAATGGTTGGGTAAATTTTGTCTTGAAGGTATACAACAATTGCTTTGAACTTGCATTATAGAAAGAGAGTTGACCTAAAGAGGAGGGGGAAAGGTTAATACTTCAAACAATATCAGTTTATGCATTCTTTACATTTTATTTCAATCTCTTCACTGCCAAGAAATCAGAATCAAGTTTTACAACAGAGTATTTTATGAAGACAATAACACTCAGCAAGCAACAAGAAATGTTATTTTACAAATCTTGCAAAGTAGGTCCACATAAAAGCAACAATGTTACTCTTAGTATATGAGACCAACTGTTGCAATAGCTCATAATTATTTTGTTGGTTCAGATAAGAAGTTGGTTCAGTCTACTGTCTGCAACAACTGCTAGCTAACTGCTTTCAAATGTGTCACAGATGGAGATGGTTCAGAATGGTTTGTTGATCAGGCTCACAGGTGTTGTACAGGTGCCCTGGATTACACACCCCACCTCCTCCCATGGGCACCCACTCAGGGAAGGTGGCGAGGCAGGGAAGTCCATGATGCTGTTTCTGATGGGGCACCCATAGAAGGAGGCAGGGCACGGAATCTTGGGCACCTGCAGAGCCTGTGGGCCCAGTCCACTGAACCACGGTAAATGCTCATCTTTAGTCACAGATTCTGCCAGCCATTCCCACTTGAATCTAGCATTTCATAAAGCAGAGGCATACAGACACAGGGTATACAGGGAATTCATTCCACTGCCAATACTGAACCTATCCTAAAATGTCTAATTGTATAAATTAACTTCTTATTCATCCTAGATCTCTCATTTCACAGAATAACCCTGGGTTCTAGTGTAAGACAACTATACGAAAGCTTGGTACAATGCATGTGAACAGCAACAGGAAAGTTGGAGAAGCCATATCTGAGATAACTCCAAGCATATACAATACAGTAGTTAGTCTCAATCAAAATAGGGCTACTGAATCAAAAACAACTTGATTGTTATTATAAATCAACATATATGTAACCTGCTAATTCAAGTGCTAGCAAATACCGACTACTGAATTTAGCCTCAACAGCACTAATCATGATTGTGATAACATAATTAAACCATGTTTCTCTGTTCTTCACCTCTAATATATTTAAAACAGATTTGTCCTCAAGAATGGCTACATGGTAGTATAAAGCCACATCCAGATTTTTAAAATGTAGCTCAACAAATCTAACTGAAATTCTCTTTCTACTGTTGTGCAGGAACTATTTCCTAGAAACAGCCATTTTTCAGCAAATCCCTTTGGGAAGATTTCATGTAATATCCATATAACTAACATGAGAGGTAAACCAGTGCAGCTACTTAAAATAATACTCAAATTGCAAATTTTTACTGCTGGTTTTAGATGGTGATGTGATGCCCTTTCTACCTATAATTCAAGACCTGATTCAGAGCATGAACCATTGTAAAAACAAAATCTTAGTTATCAGCCATGACTGCATGGGAGACCATATTCTATCTTCCTCCAACTACAGTCATGCATATTTCAAGCCAGCTCATGAACCTGGTAGAAGTGGGATAATCTTTTTCCTGCTTGCAATTTTTCTGCCATGAGTTACCCACCACAGAGGAAATGGGCAGTGGTGGTTTTCCATGGTTGGCTTCCTGGCCACCTGAATATTATGTGTAATGGTCTTCATTACCCTGTTTAGGCAAAGTTTTGTGTTACATACTGTACATAAACAGAGTTGACTAGTGTCCCTTCTCTACAACATTCTTGTCTTGCTCCAGAAAAAACATCCAGCAGATCAAGAATTCCCAACATGTGTTTACCACATTATATAAATTGTTTTAAAGAATTACCTCCATCAAAGTCGCAATAAACTCCTATCCTGTCAGGAACTGTGGCATCTAAAGTTTTTGCTTTATTATTGTGTTTCGCAGCAAATGTAGTCTGGAGCCAGTTATTTATATGCACACACCAGCTTGTATTGGTCTTTCCCAGCTGATCAAACTTTCCCATGCTTTTATATGCTACTCCTACACTGTAGGATTTACAGTCCTTCTGAGCTTTCACTTCCCAGTAGTGTTGTCCATTTTCAATAGTAGTATCTCCTGTAATATAATCAGTGAAAACACCAAGTTGTCCAAAGGTTAAGAACACATACAAGTTGATCAAGAATTAAACACATTATCAGGAGCATAAGCTACAAGTTATGTATGTCAGTGGAAATACAAAACCATTTGATATTCTGTACATACAATTTGAGTAAAATAAAGAAATTTTACAGCAACAAAAAACTTACCTAACACTGTGTAGGATTCTCCAGTAAATCTATCTCTGCTGCCCCGTATCAAAGGCGAGCGGGAGCTAACTGATGACCGCTTTGGAGATGGTGTGCCGCTTCTGTAATGTGACAAGGAATTAGTCTGTGCTGTGCTGCAGTTTGCAAGAAGTGGCATCACAGTACATAAATAATGGCACAATTTAATGGGAGAACATTAGCTTAAACACTAAAAAGAGGAATATATTTCAAAGAAGCATTTATGGTCATGTACAGATCACATGCTATTAGGGAATGTATCTTTTTTCCAGCTAGCCATGCTTCAAGCCAATAGACAGACAATACAAATAGCCATGCATAGAAAAGGCAGATAAAACCATACTGTGTAAAAACAGAAGTATTACTATTGTAGAAGAACCCACTCTATACATGTAGGACAAATGAGTGAAAATGAGTATGCAGTGTGATTCTGGAAGGAAATGTCCTCACAAGAGTAACTAATATTTGTCTGCTTAGAAGTAAATATCCTGAAATTAAACAGAACCCCAATGTAACCTACATGAGGACACTACCCAATTCCTGGGAAAGCTGATGCAACCAGTCTTACTGATCTTTTAAATTACGCTGGCAATAGTCGAGCAGACTTAATTTTAAAAGTAGTTTCCCAGAGGATAGCCTATTGCAGATATTTTTAAAAATACCTGTGGCAGAACAGCAATAAGTATCAAGATAATTACACTGCTATTTTCAAAATAAAATCCTATTATGGAAGCTAAAGACATCTGACATAACATCAAAATGAAACATATTTAAAAAAAGTTACTTACCAAAAGAAAGAGAAATAAGTGAAGCATGAAAAAAATAGCAAAGCCAAGAAATTAAAGCATATATTCAGAGAAATGAGGAAAAATACAGTAAAATTTAATCCTACTCCAAGAATGAAATACTATGAAGCCTACTATCTTCTGCTTTCTACCATAAAAGCAACCTTAGGTTCAGTACCACATCATGAAGAAAAATAGCATGTTTAGATACAAAGATTAATCATGCCCGCTTGCCCCTTCCTAGCAAAATCTATCCAAATGACATCATGCTATTTTTCAGCCAAGTGCTCACAAATCCCTTCACCCAGAAGGTCTTTATATTAACAGCCTTTACAAGTATGCACAGCAACAGATACATTTTTAAAAAATGATGCATCTGAATCTACTGATCATCTGCATGAAATATAAGCCAAATTGCCTATAACCATATACTGTTATCATGGCATCGTGTATCCTGGTATTTGAGCTGTTAAACCACCATAACAATACCTCTGCCATTTCTTTAGCGTTTATTTGTTCAAGCAACAAAGAATACTACTATAGATCCCATGCAATTTCTTTAGGAGAAAACAAAAATTAACTGCAAAATTTCTAAATGTGTTATTCTGGTTGTTTGTAGATGGCAGAACATATCAAAGTGGGCATCCCTACTGCTTTGGGCACAGGGCTCTAGTCTGTAGAGTCATGGTTTTTCTTCTAATGATATCTAGTGATACAAAAACGGAGCTTTCGGCTACAATCTTTCACCACCACTGACTGCTACTTCGAAGAGAAATGAAAATACGTACCATGATAACATCAGATATTGTTAAATCCAAGTAACTGGAAAAAGGCATATCAGATAAGGGTCTCTTTTGTTAGCCGTAATAGAAGGCTCCAGACTAAAATGCTTCTTCAGAAAGAAGACTTATTAATGCAGAGAATATAAGACTAAGGAACTTGATGATGAAAAAATAAGAATTTGCCTAAACAAACTGCTTATTTTAGATGATTTTATGGAAAGCTAATGTGGTTTAAATCTTAGACTGTAAAATCCCTCCATTTATGTCAGACGGGAAAGTGACAGATTTAAGCCCACAATCCCATTATTATAGAGGAAGTGGGCCTCTACATACTATAAATATCACAGGATTCAACATTTGTTGAAAGCTAGAGGCACTTGTATAAGTTCCCCTTTCTATATTTTCTGCTGATCGTTTCCATCCTATAAATGGCTAATGTGTAAAGTCCCACAGTGCCTTAAGAAGCTTTTCAGAAAGGCAGTTTAGAAGGTGATATAAAAGGGAAAAACATAACCGAAAGATCTACACAAAGCATAGTTGTTTGTCTACTGGTAAAGGCTGTTGGGTTCATGCCAAGTTCAGAGAGCAAGAATTGAAAGGAAAACACCGGAGAGTACAGCTGGAGGCTAGACCCTATGGCTAAAGGAGGTACATTATCACCTTGTACTGTTCTTCAGAAGGGAGATCTGGCCACTGTTAGATAAAAATAGGTGGTTAAAACACTACTCATGGCTACACATGATTTTATTTTTAAAAAGCAGTAAGGTACTATTTGAAACTACTTCAAAACTATTTCCTTATCAATATCCGTAGCCACTGAATACTCTTCATAGTCAAGCCATTTACTTACAAATGAATATATAACAGATTTTTTTTAATAAAATTTATCTCAATTTGTTAAATATAGGTTTTTTGTGTTGTAATCTGTTAAACATGACTTGAGTTCTATGGAGGGGAAATACCTATTATATTCAATTTCCACCTTTTGCACAATTTGAATAGGCTGAAATAAAGGATTCTAATAAAAGATGCAACTAACTACCTACTTAGAGCAGAGCTTCATATAGCTATTTGGGATTTATGTAGCTATCCAAGCTTCTCTTTGATAAATATGCTTCCTAAAAAGTTAAAATGCAGTCTAAAGTTATGATTAATAAAAGTAATTATGGCAATATTCTTCAGTAAATGCTTGTTGAAGGCAATATAAGAGAGAGAATATAAAATCGTATATTTGTAATGTGTTACAGAGCCAATTTGTCTTCATAAAATTGAAGTTATTTAAACAGTGTTCATGTAATCTTCATATATCCTTTTTAACACATCTGAACAGGCTTGTTCACTTATGAATACACAGCCATACAGTAGCAATACTAAGGATAACAGTAATTTTCAAACTAATATCAACTTGTTGCAATTACATAACACACTTTTGGGGCTGCCATGTATACTCCCCCAACTGCCTTTCTCCCCAAACAACCATGGTTAACCACTTCTTTACTGACTTGGAAGAAGGGTAGTTTTTTGCAACTAGAAAACATCTTTACACCTGAGAGGTGTGGATCCTGATCCACCCAACAGGCATGGATCCACCCAATCCTGTTCCTTATGTGCAGGAGAGCATGTGCCTCACATTCTGGTAGGGGCTGTTCTATGCCCCCTCCTGCACCCATTTTGCAATCTGACAAGCATGACAGCTTACTACATGCCAACAGATTCTCATATTTGTACTTTGGATTTTATTTTGGGTTGAAAACAAAGCTACTATTCAGAAGGGTACCAACTGCAAAGGAAACAATTTCCATTTTTCTAATACACTAGTCAGTCTTAGGAAAGTTCAAGATGTCTGAGATGTGAAACCCAATAAAATAGGAACATACAGATATATATGCAGAGCCAAAGGCCAGGAGCATGATTCTCTTAAGTTCTTAAATCCAAAAGGAGTATGAATATGCCATTAATACATTATTTTCTTTTTCCAGACAGCTAATCCATTTTTAGCCACACAGAAAAAAATCTGATTACATTGCTTTGTGATATTGTGGCACTTTTTTTCAGAGCAACGGCACTTCTCATTTCTATCTGTTTCTAAGGCAGCCTTATAATGCTAGTCATATAAACGTTTAGTATCAAGGACATTGGGTCACTATGTTTAAGGTTGTATTTCTACCTATAATACGTTTTGCATACAAAGAGCTACTAACCGATAAAGCACAGGTTTATATTTACTGTTTCAGCCTTTACATAACATCTAAAGTTACTTCTAACTAGAAGTGCAGTTTTCATTACCTGCCTTTGTTCTCTTTTCCTTTTATTTTGTTTTCTTGGCTTTTGCCTCCAGTAGAGTCCCACTCAACATAGGAATCTTCAACTTTCAAGTTAAGATGAGATGATGAACCATCAAGATTAAATGTAAGAGCTGACAAAAAGTAATATGTTGATCAAAATTTATTCACAACTTTTTAATTAGTATTAAGGAAAATTAAGGTTACCAGATCCCAATTTAAGGCCAAATACATAATCTTATTCACAGCTATCCTTCTACCAAACCAAACACAGATGAGAAAAATATAAGCAATTATTTAATAATCCTCCGATATCTACTCAAGAATATTTCTAACATTTACTGCCATGTATCCTGTGTCTATAAGGTAGGCAGTATCATTCCCTGAGGCCAGGAGTGTTCAATACAAGCCAGCAGTCAGAAATGAGTTACTGTTCCTCACTGGAATTTGTTTTTGTGCACATTTAATCTTCATTAATGCCAGCTAAGCAGAATAATAGAGCCTATGTTGCTGTGCTTGCCTTCATTTTTGGAAGCTAAACAATAGCTGTCATACTAAACAGACCCTATTCAATCAGAATGCATCACAAATAATTTTTTGGTACTTCAGCATCCAAGCTCTAAAATTCTTCTAGGAAAGGTCATCAAGCATCTGGGCACTGCTCAACTTGAATACAAGCACATATCCAGCACAGTATAAATGCAATCCAATTTTAAAAAGATATCTGAAAATAATATTAATCTACCACTGAGCAAAATCTTATTGGCATAACCCAGACTGGGTGCAGGAAGGATTTAATTTAAAATAATTAAATGATCCCCCTTCCTTTTAGGTTCAAAAGTCCCCCAGGCAGCCGTAGGACCTGAGAAGCAGAGACTATAATTAAAAATTCCCTGCCAGAGAACACAGGGCGACCATTTTGCAAAGCCGACGATTGGCGGAAGGGGTCATCGACTTGCAAGGTGCAGACCTGGTCGGCGTCCGGCGAGGACCCCCCATTGGAATGACTGTTTTGCAAATCACTGTAGTGATCGCAAGGGGTCATCGTTATGCAGATTCGTTGTTTGGTGGGGTCGTCGTCTTGCGAGGTACCACTGTACATCTAAAGTCATTACCCTATAAGAAAACTTTTGAAGCTGTGTGTGCAATTCAGTTTTTAGTAATTTAGCTCAGATTGTACTTTTCAAGTCTTTCAATTGAGTTCTTGAAACTTGATGCACATATATTTTATATTGTCATATTGTTGTGTTTTTATCCATGTAAGCTGCCCCGAGTAGACGTTGTGTAGAGGAGCGGGGTAAAAGTCTAATAATAAATAAATAAATAAAATCCAGCTGCAATGTTTTGCTATTAAAGTCTCCCCTTTCCCTCTGCACTCTTGAGGATGTCAAAGGCTTTCCGAGGGAGCACAAGGAACTTTGAAACATAAAGAAAGGGTGATAGGAAACTTTTAATTACTTTAATTAAATGCTTATGGCACCAGAACCAGGTTATGCTGTCATGAAGTTATGCAACAGGATTTCCCCCCATGAAAATAAGACTGGGATTAGCTGAAAAGCTATGAGTGATACTGTGGTATAGATAGCCCAGTAACACCAGGGTAATGCATCTTCCATGGGAGGCCCTAAAATAGTAGAAGCTACACAGAGCAATGCACCTTCCTAAAAATGCTCTGCCCATGTTCCAGTCTTAGAATAGCAACACGGTTATAAACAAATTATATGTGTGCATATGGAAATCAGAAAGCTCAACTGTGAGCAAGCCAAGTTCTTTCTAAAGATAAAACAGTGGAGACCTTTCATGCTTTATTCTTCAAGACTTGAAAGATGCCCTTAGACGTAAATTTCTGAACCTTTTTAATTTTACCCCGAACAAGTGGCCACAATCCTAGTGGCATTTATGCTTGCATAAGGGAAAATGTGCATGTTGCAGCAGCGACTTGCCACTCACTAACAAGGTGCTCACTGTGTTCCTAGGCACATGCTCAGGAAGACACCTAGTGCCTCATGAGTAGCAATTTGCTACAGCAATTTATAGGATTTTCCTACACAAGAGTAATAAATCAATAGGGTTTGGGCCCTTGTGGCAGCAAATCGTACTACGAAGCACTTTCTAGGCCACTACCCAGGACTAGGACTCTGGAGACCAGGGTTCAAATCCTCACTCTGCTATAGAAACTCACTGGTAAAACCACTCTTTAAATACCATACTTGAAAGCCCTGTCAGGGTCACTCTAAGTTGCTTTTGACTTGACAGCACACAACAGCAACAACACAACTAATAATTTCATATGTGACAGTAAACTTGTTCGTGGATATGCAGATGACGTCTTTAGCATGTGCAAATTCAATCCAAGCTGGCAAGAATTATCATGAACTGAAATAAACTCCAGAGAATTGGCCCTCATTCTATATCTTCTATTTTTACCTGAGTAATGCTTGTTGCAAGTTGCTGAATATCATAAAGCTTGCTTTCCAGCTACAGAACTAGCTCAAAACAAACGTAATATATTAAGCTGAGACACAGCTACTGCCTAACAGTATTGAGACAGTATGTGAATTTTATAGCCAAGCTGAAAGCTGAACCTGCATTTCCCATATTCAAGATGCTATACTATACCTTTGGTCTCTAAAGTTACTGGGTCAGAATAATCCCCAGCCACAGCTTTGTTGCAAGCTCGAACACGAAAGTTCATGTATTTTGAATCAAACCTGAGACCTGAAAGATGAAGAAACCTTCAGATATACATTATCATTATGAAGAACAAGTAATAAATGGTCTACAGTTACATACAGAATTAGGTATCAATGGACCTTGATACTAGGACAATTACATTAAATACAGAATCTCTGTTTTATTAACATATTTGTAGAAAATGTTCTCATTTGTCACAAACCTAACTATAAAACACTGAAAAGGAATTGTGCATCCCATACATTATTAACTGGCAGCTTTCAGTTAGTTATGGTTGTAACTGGTAGCACATCCAGGATGTCAGTATATTAAAGGACTGTCACCTTACAGGGACAATAAACACTGGTGTATTTTGTACATGGGCTACAGAAAAATCTGGACAAGAAAACAGAAGGAACACTTAGCTAAATTAATGGGCTCATATCGACTTACAGACTTTTTGAGTTAGACTTCTCTGGCTGCAAGTCAAACCTAAATTTTGCATCCAGAGACCTACAGACCAGAAAAAAACCAAAATGGAACAAAAATGGAACAAAAACGGCCGGTTACGGAATTAATTGGTTTTCAATGCATTGTAAGTCAATGGAGACTCGACCTACAGACTTTTCGACCTGTAGCCACCATTCCAATACGGATTAATTCCATAAGTAGAGGGTCCACTGATAAAAATACAGGGGAAAAAATCAGTCCTCCAAGTTTGCTCTATGAGAGTAATACCCCGTACCAAAATAAAGCCAAAGTGGTATAGAATCAACTGCCTGGGGTAGAATGGAATGAAACACTAAAGGACAACTAATCCCACAGCTATTACAGAATACAAGGTCAGCTTTGCTTTTAAAATGTTTTAAAGAGATTTCTAACAGGTTTATAGCACCAAAACACCCCCATAGGAGAATAAAGGTACAGGGAAAATAGCTGCAAAATCACACTGTTTACTGCATATAACTTATTTTTTGTAATGTAATAGTTATTCAAATTTAACATGGGAGAATTTTCTTAAGTTGGGAACTGAACTAATAAAGGTGGTTTTAGAAGAATTACAAAAGTCACAATATTTTATTAAATACTAGTAGAAACTGATTTTCAAGTATCTACAAGTTCTATTAGGACCAAAGTGACCTGAAAATTAAAAATAAATACATACCTGATAATATATATTCAGTGCCCTTAATATAATCTATAATTTCCCAGCACCTTTCATCTTTTACTCGAGGGAGCCCATCAAAGTTGGTTTTTCTATATTCAAGTACATAGTGGTCAATTTTGTTGTCTTCTTCAGGCATTTGCCACGATACTGTTACACAGTTGTCAGCTACCATGCAATCTGCTAGAACTATCTCGGGAGCTCTGGGAACTGTTAAAATAATAAAGAAACAAAGCATTAGAAATTTAGAATACCAGACATAGAGAAATCTTTCGCAAGATCCAAAGAGTTAAGAACAGACAACTATAAAGCAAAGATCAGAAGAGCTACCAAAAAATTTAAACAATGAAGTTTATGGATGACACTTTGATTGAATTACTTATACTGTACATATATCCTAAACACAAACACCCAGAAACAAGTTGTACTGAGTTTACTAGAGTGCAAGCATAAGTTTACAGGACGATATTCAACCGAAATCAGTTTCCTCTAACATGAGTCCATTATTACATGTCCTCTACTCTGGGTCAGATTCTGTCCCTCCTCTATATAAGTCTTTCAAGTATTTGAAAAGTGCTATCATATCTTTATTTCTCAAAATTAAATATGCCCAGTTCTTTCAGCCTTTCCTCATAGGGCCTGATTTCTAGTCTCCTGATAATCCTTGTTGCCCTCCTCTGAACTTGTTCCAGTCTGCTGACATCCTTATTAAATTGCAGTGTCCAGAACTGGACACAGTACTCAAGATGAGGCCTGACTAGTGCCCAATAGAAGGGAACTACTACTTCATAAGATCTAGAGACTATGCTTGTGTTAATGCAACCTGAAATGGTACTGGCCTTTTTTACAGCCACATTGCACCATTGGCTTATATTCAGTTTCTAATCTACAACAATTCTAAGATCCTTCTTACTCGCAGTATTACTGAGCCAAAAATCTTGTAATTGTGTATTTGCCCCCCCCCCTCGGTGTAGAACTTCACACTTATTTCTGTTAAATTTCATTCTGTCATTCTCAGCCTGGTGCTCAAGCCTATAATGATCTTTTTGAATGTTGTTTCGGTTCTCAAGGATGTTAGCTATTCCAAATTTTGTTATCTGCAAATTTGATAAGCATTTCGTGAACCCCCTAATCCAAGTCATTAATAAAAATGTTGAAGAGCACTGACCCAATGGTACCCCATTTGATACCTCCTCCCAGTTTGAGGAGCCATTGAATACAATTATATAACCAATTGTGTATCCACCTGGAGGTTGTTCTATCCGGCCCACAGCTAGTTAGCTTGCTAATCAGAATATCATAGGGCACTTTGTCATAAACACTGCTGAAGTGAAGATATGTCTACAGCATCCCCTCCATCTACCAGAGAGGTTATCCAATCAAAAAATGAGGTAAGATTAGACTGGCAGAATTTGCTCCTTGACAAATCTGTGTTGGCTTCTAGTTATTATCACCTTGTTTTCAAGGTGCTTACACAGTGATTGCTTTAAAATCTCCTTCAGAATGTTCCATGGGATTGATGTCTGTCTGACTGGTCTGTAATTCCCACATTCCTCCATTTTCCTTTTTTTGAAGATGGGGACAAGTTAGCCCTCCTCCAATCAGATAACTGAAATCTCCCATTGCTAGATCATATCACTTTGAAATTCTTGCTATTTGTTTTTCAAGGTTTCATCCACATCTTTTCCTTGGTTGGGCAGTTACTGTAGCAGTAGATTCCAGCTACCATGTTCCTTTTGTTTTTGACACCAATTACATTAATCCAAATGCTCTCAATGGGACAAACAAGCTCATCTTCCTGTATTTCTGTGCAGAAATATGTATTGTTGATGCACACTGTGACTCCACATCACTTTTTATTCTTTCTGTTCTTTAGGAACAATTTATATCCTTCAATTGCTGTTTTCCAGTTATGGGAATCATTCCACCAAGTTCCAGTTATCCCTATCAAGTCATACTTACCCATTGAGTAAGGTAAGGCTTCTAGTACTTTTTGTTTCCTATACAGTGGACATTTGTATATATGCACTGGAGACTGTGTGATTTGTCTCCTTCTTTCCTTTATACATTTTTATGAAGATTATTACTGAGCCCATTAGAGCTACTCAGTTTGTTCATCTTACTGTGCATAAGCCATCATCTATCTTCACCTCTGAACTTGTGCCTCCCTTCCTCTTCCAATTCAGTTTAAAAGTCCGTCCCTAATTAAGTTCTTCATGTTATGATCAAATGCATTCTTTCCAGTCCTTGTGAGGTCCACCCATTACTTGCCAGCAGTCCATTTTTTTAGTAAGCACTATCCATGGTCCCAAAATCCAAATCCCTCAAATCAGCACCGCTTTTGTAGCCAGTCATTCACCTGGAATATTTTTATTTCCCTTTCTATCCCCCTTCTGAGTACTAGTAGGCTAGACAATGTTAACAGGATTGGCCTTTTTTTCAAATGGAAAATTAATCCCCAGAAGATGTAAGCCCTAGAAGAAATCTCATATACTTTTTGACTGGGAAGGCTAAAAGAGGAAGCTATTTCAGTCTCATTTACACTTGATTTTACAAGTAGACTGAAAAGGACTTGTTCTTGCAATTTTTAGGAACAGAAAAGACAGCGAGAAGCAACAACAATGAAGGGCTGTCAGGACCATACAGGACTAACCAACTGGACATTCTGAATTGAGGTGCCAGCAAGTCACTCAGTTTTAAGTGTCAAAGTTGGAGATGTCAGAGGAAACTTACTTACATGTCATTGGCATCACTTAAAATGTAACTGTCTGTAACAATCTGTCAGAATTAATAGCTAAGGTGAACATTCAGAACCGCCCAAAGTCTTTTGGGAAGTTGTAGCAAAAAAATCCTGAGCAATTCATCCTTCACAAGATGAAATCAGGTTTGATATTCTGACAGTTTTAATTTGATATTTTAAAACAAAGTTTTATCTTTGCATGAACGAACACAGGCCACCAAAATATTACTTCGAAAGTAGCTATATAGGACAGCTTTTTAAATGACAAATTCATTCACCTAACATAAATTACACTATCACCTCTTCCAGCATCACTCGCGGGTTCCCTTTGGGCAGGGGACAAGGCGGCAGTGTGAGCTGGAGGTGAACCCCGCGACTGGCACTGCAGGAAGTGATCAGGGAGTGGCAGCAGTCAATGGGCAGCCGTGAGAGGCGGCCAAGTGCGGCTGCTCCTCCGCCTCCACTTCCTGCTGCTTGTTGTCGTTTAGTCGTTAAGTTGTGTCCAACTCTTCATGACCCCATGGACCGGAGCTGCTGCTTCTGCCCAACTGCCTCCTCCAGCACCACTGCCAGGGCTAACCTCCAGCTCACATCTCATGCCCAAAGGGAGCCCACAAGTGGCACTGGAGGAGGTGATTATGCAGCGGTGGCAGCAGCAATCAATGGGCAGCCGCGAGGGGCAACCGAGCGCGGTTGTTCCTTTGCCTCCTGCTGCTGCTGCCTCTGCCCATTTGACCCCTCTAGTGCCACTCACAGGTTCCCTTCAGGCAGGGAACAAGGTGGTGGTGTGAGCTGGAGGTGAGCCCCGGCAGTGGCGCTGGAGGAGGCAATCGGGCGGGAGGAGGAGGAGGCAGAGGTGAAGAAGCAGCCACTCTTTGCCGCCTCTTATGGCTGCTCATTGACTGCTGTAGCCACCTGATCGCCTCCCTCCAGCGTCATTCATGGGGCTCACCTCCAGCTCACGCCACTGCCTTGTCCCCTGCCCGAAGGGAGCCTACGAGTGGCAGTGGAGGAGGTAATCTGGTCATGGCGGCAGCAATCAATGGGTAGTTGCGAGAGGCAGCCAAGCATGACTGCTCCTTTGCCTCTTTCTGTGTACAAGACAACCCTCAATTTTCCCTCTAATGGTTTTAGGAAAAAGTGTTGTTTTATACACAGAAAAATATGGTACATATGAGTAAATCTAATTTAAGAGGGGAAATAGCGCCTTTATATATGAACATTTGTCAGTACCCCAAGCCTACCAGATTATATACCAGCAACAGTTTAGTTACCAATTCTATTCAGTCCCCATTATTTGACTGGCTGGTTCAGCTAAACCCTAGGATTATACTGCAAGAACACATCATCAGTTCAATGGACATTACAAAACAAGAAATACAGATTAAGCAGAGAGGTGTACAAGTATCAACCTCTCTACTACCATCTCTTCTCAAATATGTCCAGTGCAAGCAGAAATAACAGCAAAGTTTTTTTTATGCCCCTCATCCTTACCCCAATGGTTCAAATATACTGACAACACTAAGAGATACTCAAGGAACTGAAACAGCCCATATTTACATGTGTCATTTTAGCAAGAGAAAAGATTACCTTTTGAGGAACATCACAACGGCATTTCAAATAACTCAGTGCTGTACAGTCTCATTTTTACCTGGCAAGAATTTCAGAGCCTGGAGCATTCGTGTTTCCTGAGAGAAGTCGACCATTAAATGTGTCATATTGTCACTCACTTTGGGCTTCAAAGACAGACGGAATGCTGGAGCCATTGTAACTCTAAAGAACAAAAAATAGAGAAAAAAGTTCTTTATGACATAGTCAATGGTTATGCTATTGAACAATGTTTGCTTTTATCCACTAATACAACCCATTTTTTCAGACATAAGCTTGTTAGTTAAAACTATGATGAACAAAAGGTATGGACATTCCAATAGTCACTCCTGTAAAACATGCTAAGAGCTGTGAAGAGACCAGAGCCAGATTACCAGATGACTGCTTCTGGCACATAGTCAGTGTTCAGTGCTCTTGTCACTAATGTTAATTTAATTTAATTAATTTAATTTATAATTTATTGTCATTGTAAATATATACATGGTATACCCATAGAACGAAATTCACACAGGCACCCAGAGACCAGACCCACATGCACACACATAAAAATTCCCCAAACACTCCCCACCCACTAAAAATCCCCCACTAAGAAGGAAGGAACATGGTGGAACTGGCAAACACTGGCTATCCTTTATAATCAACTTAGAAAGAACAATTGTTTTATCAACAATTCATTCTGTGACATAAAAATTCAAGTACAGTATTCCAATCTGAGTTTTAGATCTTTGTTAAATGATGTCACTCTGTATTCAGATAAATTTGCAAAATTAAATTATTTTCAAATGACCATCACCGTGGACTTCAACAAATGTCTGTAGGTATGTATTTAAACAGGATATATTCTACTACATACAGACTGTGTGTTTTAAAAATCAGATAACATCAGAGTTCTATTTCACTCTCAACTCATCTTCTAAAAAAAAAAATCTATTACTTCAAAACTTCTGAAGTCTCTGTGTTCAAGAACTCGAAACAGAAAGATAGGATATAAACCAAAACAGGCCTTACAAAAGCAGGAGTAAAAAATGAAGGGACTTCAAACAAAGAAATGTGCATTCCATACTATTACAAAGAGTTCTTCAAGCTACCATATTTTTCCATGTATAAAACAACACTTTTTCCTTAATAGAGAAAAAATTGAGGGCCGTTTTATACACGGAAGGCAGCTCTTTACCACTGCCTTTTGCAAAGGTATGGGGGAAGCGTTTCTCCCTTTTTGCTAAGCTCTGTGCCACTTTCCTTGCCTTTTGCCAAGGCACGGGGCTTAGCAACAAGGGAGCCCTTTGATCCCTGTTTTTTCTAATTTGGGGTTAGAAAGGGGGGCTGTCTTATACATTGGGTCATCTTATAAATGGAAAAATACAGTAACTACTGCTGGTGAGATAAAATCCAGGACAAATCTTAGAGCAGGGGTCTCAAACTGTGGCCCTCCAGATGTTCTTAGCCTACAGCTCCCAGAAGCCTTCAGCACCACCTCTGCTGGCCAGGATTTCTGGGAGTTGAAGTCCAAGAACATCTGGAGGGCCACAGTTTAAGACCCCTGTCTTAGAGAATCAAGCTGACAAGTTCTCCTCAGACTTATCTGCAAGCCAGTTACTGAACTGAGGACAACCTCTATAGCTCTCTTCTCTAGCTATTTCTTGTCTCACTTCAAGGTTTGAGCAACATATTTCAAAACTGCACTGTGGAAACTGAGCATCTTCTTAGTGTGGAGAGATTTTCACTTTCTTCTATAAATATATGCAAATTTCCTAGCTCAGGATTCTGGAATCCCACTCTAAAGAGGAATGAAGGCTTCCAATGTTTTTATAGCATACAAGGTGGATCTCACAGACCAATTAGAGGCTGATTTCAATGGTACCCTTTGTTGATCAATTTCTCGACTGGGCCTAAACAATCAAATATTTTTGAAATGCAAACCATACATGGATAAACCTAAATATATAAAATGAAATAGTCTGTCCCACAGTGCCACCTCTTTACAATAGCAAATGAAGGGTTTATGCTTCAAATGAATATGTACTCTTGACTATTCTTTGCCTTCTCAATCCAAGAATAAAATTAACCATAAGGCAGGCATGTGACCGGGAAATCTGAAATAAATCATCAGTCTGTTCTATGTGCAGCCTTATTTGCTCTATACTTACCTCCGTTATGAGGCAAATCTCCCTGATTGTGCACTAAATGAGAAATTTAGACTTTTTAAATATTCAGCATGGCTTTGGGCTGCATTTCTATCAAATTCCAACTTGTCCATTTTGGGGAACTGATATAAAGAATAATTTATACAATTGTCCCCATTTTCCCAGCAACTATATTGTGTTTGATAAACTTTGAACTAAGTTTCAGATTCTAGGTCATCTACAAGTGCCATATCAAATTCTGAAACTCCCATTAGCAAGGCCTTAGTGTCTTCATGTTTCTGGCCTACTCTTGTTTGAAACTACATCTACAGTTAAGATTATTCTCTTAACTACACATCTATTCAAAGTGTGTCGTTTTTGTCAAAGAATCAGAAGTTCTCACACAATGCAGGCAGAAATGTAAAGGCAAGAGACACAATACCTTTCTTAACAACATGCAAAGCTCACTGGTATTTTTTGATTGATGAATCATAAATGAAAGAATTAGAAAAGTGACTTATAATGTAGACTCCTCAGTTCCTGTTACAAAATATTAGGAACAGAATCAAAGAAGTTTGTACTGTACCTATCCTTGATCTGTCTGGCAGCCTTGAGGTGCATCAGGAAGAAGAGAGAGAAGGTAGTTAATGGTTTCATGCAAGTTTCATCTGCAGTAACATGCAAGAAAGAGTTAGCATATAAATCTCAGGTGTCAACCATCACTGAAGAGTTGCCTATAAGTCATTGTTAATGCAAAGTTATTAGAAATTCAGTAAAAAGCAAACAAAGCCATATAATCAAGCCACAAACCTAATTCCATTGTTACATCTTGTCAACTGTTTGTACTGAACACTAATAATGAAGTGGTCAACTCAACTCAGGAACAGTCAACTGAAATGAAGCATTTTGCTAAGCATGACAGTAGTGGATAGATGTAAGTTTTGTTGCCCTGTCCCTGAACAGCCATCAACCTAACTCCCTGTTCACTAAATATTTTTTAAAACAAAGCAGCCTAACCAAAGTACTGTTTTTGTCAAAGGAAAATTTACTTTTACTTAGCTCTGGACAGAACAAAATACTATAGGTAACAAAAGACAAGGAAATACCCAAAGGATTCTCATATCCTAATGACCACACTCAGATTCTAAATGGATGACAGAAGATAAGCTTCACAAATTTATTGTCTGTATCTTAGGTAATCCCTAGTAATGTTACAGGAACTAACAGAGCAAAGAACCTAAGCAGAAATCCTGAAATTTAGCAACAAATAGCTAAGATGGCATGTTATGACTGTCCAGCAGCAACAACAAACTGTGAATAATAAATTATTGATACTCTGCTTACTATACACTGAGAAAGATTATATGGAAGAGTTTATGCATTATTACCACAAAAACAGTTTTATTTCTTAAGACAACCATTTGTAAGATGGAAAAAAGCCTGCTTAAATCAGAGCTCTCTTAAGAGCTTCCTTATTCCCTGAAGAATTAAATGTATAAAATTGTATGACAGAACTAGCAACTTCTTAGACACTACATAGATGTTGGATGGGAAATATTTCTACAGCTTTAATGTCATAGCATTTTGGGATTTTGATCACTGTATTCTCACATTTCTAAGGGGGACTAGACAGTACTGATTGGCACAAGGTCAGACAGTCTGCTTGATACATTAGCAGCTCAGTTATTTCTAGTCTCCTGTGCTCCAACTCAGCGCTGTCCTCTGCAACCATATGTGCCAAGTGTGTGAACATGTGCAAACTATTTCCTTCCCCTCTCTCAAGATAGAATATGGCTATGCCTACATAATGCAGCAGCAAATATTCTATGTAAAGGCTGCTTAAATATTTAATAGAAGAGAGTTCAGGATGAAATTACTTAACTCGTTTAGCCAGAAGAGAAAGTGATCTCCTGTGAGAAGCAATCTGTTGTCTGCTTCCTCAGCAGTTAACCATATGTAAAATTGAATCATATTTCTTGGCAAATCTTTTAACATTCTTATAAATTCTGGTAGTCACAATGCAAAGTAATAAGCAAATTCTACAGGGCATAAAAGGAATTCTAGCAAGAGGGCATAAAAGGAATGCAAACCCCACATTCACAGCAAATATTGATCCTAAAACTCTCAGCAATCAGAATTTTGCTCATTCCTTTCATCATTTGAACAGAATCATCCCTCAAACTCCTGAAAACCTAAGGATGACATAGCCACCACAAAAATCATTTCACGCGTTTTGAAAGCAAAGCAAGCCTCATTAGACCACATGTATTATTTGGCTGTGCTCAGCAAAGAACTTGTCAATAAAGAAAATGATGAAACAGCAACTTTTCAAACATTCATTTGTTCAAAAGTTTACAGATCCAAATTATTTTCCATGTATGATCTTTTGGCAAGCATAAAAGGATGGGGCAAAAACAGAAGGCAAGAATCAGGATTTGTTGTCAGGCTCAGGGAGGCAGAAATAATCAGAGGATCAGGAACCTGGATAAGATCCAGGGGAAATACTGTAGCAGATGGAAAGGAGCTACAAGCCAGGAGACAACAGTATCAATTAACTGGAATAAAAAACTAGAAGGGACAATCATGAAGAACAATGGGCTGACAGATGGGATGTGAACAAAGAACGTAAGAAGCATTTTTTACTATTGTGTTTTTGATTAGGTGTAATTTCTAGGGAACTTAACCCAAGTAATTTAAAATGAGCTAGTTAAAAACATTTTATTTTACAACACTTTTCACTTTCAGTATCTGAAGCAAATACAGTGGTGCCCTGCATAGCAACGATAATCCATTCCGGAAAAATCGTCGCTATGTGGATTCGTCGCTATGCGAAATAAAAAAGCCCATAGGAATGCATTAAAACCCATTTAATGCGTTCCTATGGACAAAAAACTCATCATTGTGCGAAAATCCTCCATACGGCTGCCATTTTCGCTGCCCGGTAAGCAAGGAATGGGCGTGAAAACACAGCGGGCTGCCATTTTTTTACCCGGTGGCCATTTTGGAACCACCAATCAGCTGTTAGAAAAACATCGCTATGCGAAAATCGGTAAGTGAAACAGCTGACCGATCATCGCAAAGCGATTTTTCCCTATCTAAATCATTGGAATGTGATCGCTTCTGTGATCACAAAAACTTAATCGCTATGCGGATTCGTCATTAAATGGGGCGCCCGTTAAGCGAGGCACCACTGTATTGTGATTGATTTTCCAAAATTATTTGAAGTTAGTTTTAAAGTATTGCAGTCTATTATTAATTAAGAAACTCATAAAACCAGCTCTGGGTACCTAAAAGGGATTTTAAGGGTCATCAAATCCAACCCCCACAAAGCAGGATACTTGCAGCTAAAGCATCCTTGGCAGATGACCATCCAACTTTTGCTTAAAAACTTCAAATGAAAGAGAGTCTGCCACTTTCCATGATCATCCATTTCACTGTTTAACATATCCTACTAGCAGAAGTTCTCCAGAATCTCATTTCTTGTGATCTGAATCCATTAGTTCAGGCCCCACCTTCTGGAACTGCATAAAATAAACTTGTTCTATCTTCCATGTGACAGCTATTCAAGTATTTGAGCATGTCTATCATATAACCTTTTTACCTTCTCCCCACAAAACTCAATTGTTTCTTATGGGAGTTGGTTACCAGATCCTTCATCTTAGTTGCCCTCCTTTGGTCACTCCCAAATATTTTTCTCAAACTACAGTGCCCAGAACTGAAGATAGTAATGACTGGCTATTCCCTTGATCTGAACCTACACTTCTGTTAATGCAATATAGTACTGCATTAGTGTTTTTTCCTGACACATCATACTACTAACACATATTTGGCTTGTGGTCTGAGATTTCTAGATCCTTTTCACATATATTATTGCCAAGCCAGGGGTCACTCATTCTCTATTTCAGACCACTTCTAGCAGATAGATAGAAGTAACAGAATTTGGATTGTTGTAGCACTGCAGGCATCCTTCAGTCTCAAGAAACTATGTTAACGTGCTCTGAATAGAGGTCTTGGAACAATGTATGGTGTAGCTGAGAAGGCCAATTCGAGAGTGACAATCCCTTCCATACTGAAGACAAATACAACCTGCCCCCGTCCAGCTCCCTAATTTTTCTGGCTTTGGGATAGCCTCTTTGCCTCAGCATGCTGGACAAGGATCTCTTCAAACTGGGAGAGGCCATGATGCACTGCCTGCCTCCAGGCTGAACGCCCAAATGTCAGTTTCCCTTCTGTTGAGGTCCATTCCTAAGGCCTTCAGAAGCCACTTGCAGATATCCTTGTATCACAGCTGTGGTCTCCCTCTGGGGTTCTTTCCCTGTACTAATTCTCCATACAGGAGATATTTTGGAATCCGACCGTCAGCCATTCTCATGACATGGCCAAGCCAACATAGATGCCGCGCTTTCATTAATGTATACATACTCCAGGAGGCAGTGGAAGACAGGAGGGCCTGGCGTGCTTTGGCCCATGGGGTCACGAAGAGTCAGACACGACTTAACAAGTAAACAACAACAATGCATGCTAAAAATTCCAGCTCATTCTAGGACAATTTGGAATTATGTTCTGCCAGGTGATACCAAAAATGTGTTGGAGACAATGCATACGGAACGTGTTCAAGCTTTCTCTCCTGCCGTGCACAAAGGGTTCAGGACTCACTGCAGTACAGAAGCATACTCAGGACACATTGTTGTAGCACTGTTACGATAAATAAGACAAACGTGCAAACACTGGAAAAGCCAACTTGACAAATCCACGCAACTGAAAAGTGGCAGCATATTGTATTGTCCAGTTAACTGATAGGTACATTACTACTTCCACTTCATTCTTAGTTTATAATTTTCCTATTAAGCAATACATTTCCCATCCTCTATGTAGATTCTTACATAAATCTGATGACTTTATTATTCTAAGGAAAAATATAGTAGAAAGTCTGCATACTAGAACCTTTATAATAATTGTTATTCAATGCAAATTTAGCTTATTAAAAGTTATGCAGAAGCTACATGATCTTGATCCCATTATAAACATGCAATTATTGGCCACTCTTTATATACTGTGCACTATCATAGCACACACCACTTTCTTCATTTTTAAAGAACTACCCATCTTATTCCATGATCATATGAATGTTACTTTTAGTTACAAGATTTTATTGTCTTTATTTTCCCAGGGAATTCTGAGTTTCTGTACTCCAAACACTCTGAATATCAAGTTTATGACTTGAAAGATTCTAACCAGTTCCCAAATGTTTACTACCACAAAGCCCTATTACACATTTCAAAAATAGCTGCAGGCAGATGACATGCTATTAAAAAGCATTTCTCTTTTTTATGTTCACATCAGGCCATTTTTATACCTTTGAAAATTCCTCAGAGTCCTTTATGTCCAGCGACCGTGTAGCAAATTCTAGCAATTCTTCAGAATTTTCCAGGGCATGATTACATTGACTAAGTTGATTCTAGAGGGGGGGAAAACAAAAATTCATTCAATATGGCAACTTGTACTAAGTTGTGAGAACAGATTTTAGGACTGCTTCGTTTTGCCTTTCATTCAGAAAGATGCATACGGTAGTTTACTGACAAAGCATATGCTTTGCATTAAGAAAGTCCCAGGTTTGAGTATGGACACTGGGATCAGGGAGCAGGTGATGCAAAACAATTTCAGTCTGAGAACATGGACAGCTCTTGCTGATCAGGAAAAAGTACTCAACTAGATGGACAAACAATCTGTTTAGGTATATGGCAACAGTCTGTCTTATCTGCTGGCTCTTCTTTTACAGATGTATTGGTCCAAACTACTTTTGTTATTCTGAAATAAAAACATTCAGCGCACTTTCCTTCACCTTGTTTCTAGATTCTATAGATTTACTTAAAGTAGGGATGGGAACATATGGCCTTACAAATGCTGTTAAAGTACAGCTCCCATGTGCATATTGTCTATGCTTGCTAATGCTGACGGAATTTACGTATCACACAGAGAACCACAACCTCACCTGCTCTAAAATACTAGCTGAAATCCAGTAATAAGTCATAACCAGCATAAGCCCATTTAATCAATGGAACTTACTGAAGAATTGACTCACCAAATCCCCAGATTCAATGAGCCTACTCTGGTAGCAGCTCTACTGGATTTCAGCCCATAAGTTAGAAATCTAAAGCACCTATAAAATATAAACCTCCACTCAATTCAATCAGACCACAACTGCAAGTTCCATTCCATACATTTAGCACTAGGTACTGGTCCAGATATTAAATGAACACTCATGTTTTCTTTTTAAAATAAATTTTATTTTCCCAGCATAAAACTTACAAATATATAAGAAACAGCATCATTTTCAGATCAACGCCAAATTAAGTATGCACACATTTTAGAAGGTGCACTAACGATTCCAAGCATTTAAAACCGTTTTCCAACATGTTAAGACACTTTTGCAATTGAAAAAATGAACATCGTTAAGTGAAGCAGGGGACCTAAAACCAAAAACGTTAAGCGAAGCATGGTCCCAAAATCGCTATGTGAAAATCGCCCATAGGGAAAAACATTATACGAAGCAGAATCTGACTCTGAAAAAATAAACGTTAAGCGAAAAAAACATTAAACGAAGCAAACGTTATGCGAGGCACCACTGTATACTATAAAGCTTAGCCTACAAGCCTTACGTTTTCACCATGGCTGGGACACAGAGCTTCTCCAAGAAGTTTCTAAGGGCACAGAATGGCTGGTATGGGAGTCCTTAGCAGGGGTCTCAAACATGCGGCTCGGGGGCCATTTGCGGCCTGCTGGATGATAGTTTGCGGCCCCCGCCTTGCCTGTCCCCCCCAAAGCACCCATGGGTCCTCTGCTGTCAAGAGTCAAAAAAAGCCTCGCCTCACTCACTGGCTGTCTCCCAAGACAGCACCTCTTGCATCCTCCATCCAGAATTGCACCCTGCCAGTCAGCCCGCCTGTCTGCCGGCTGGCAGGCTGCAGTTCCAGATGGAGGGTGCAAGAGGTGCTATCTTGGGGGAGAGCCAGCAAGCAAGGCACACTGCTGGCCCTTTTCCCCGAGTGCCCAAGCTGCCACCGAGTGACGCCTGAGAGTGGAGCTCACTCCCATCCCATCCTCAAAGAGCACCTCCAAGCCGCCAACAGCAGCTGCTGCTGCCGCCGCTTCTAGGGAAGCGGCTCTCTGGTCTCTTTCTCCCTCGGCACCCTCAACACCAGCCCAGCCAGTGGCCGTCTCAGCGCCCAGCGGTGCTTCCTCCTCCTCCTTGTCCTGCTTCAGCCGCCTTGGTTCTGGAGGCTGCCTGGGCTTGCCTCACAAAGTTTGCTCCTCTGTCGTGGTGGGGGTAGCTGCTGCTGCTGAGTGCCCCTTTCCTCAGAGGAAGGTTGCCGGACCTCTGTGTGTGTGTGTGTGTCTGTCTGTCTGAACGCACCTGTCGGGGGCCCACCCCATTCTGTTTTTAATTTCGCTGGTACCAATGGGGGCTTTTCTCCTTTGGCAAGGCAATTATGTGAGGGTTTTTAATAAAAAAATTATGTTGTGCCCTCCTCCCCCCCGGCTAGGCGGTCGCTGGTGCTCCCCCCCCTTCTCTGCTTCTTCATCCTGCTGCTGCTGGTGGTGGTAGTGAAGAAGGAGCTGGAGGGGTTCATGGCTGGCGACGAGGGGTCGCGCACCCCTCCTCCTCAGAACCCCAGGTGGGCTAAGGAAACTCCTGGGTGGCTTTCTCAGGCTCTTGCTCTGCTTGGCGGAAAATCTGATGCAGCCCAGCCTCACCCAGACTCTGACTCCAGCGGCCCCCAGTTAAACTGAGTGTGAGACCCCTGTCTTAAGGTATCCTTCACTTAACCTAGTTAGGATCTTAAAGATGATTGCCAAAATTTTAAATTGTGCCCCCTTGAAAAAAAACACTGGTAATTATTAAAACTCTTGAAGGATAGGTGTAAGGCAATCCAATAAGCAAACGTGAACTAGCATCCTCATTGCTGCACTCTCAAATTTCCTAAGACTCTCCAAATGAAGAGTCACACAGAATGTGGTACACTATTTGGATCTGGACCCAAGGCATATGTCACCATTGTCAAGTCTGACCTCTTCAGGAACAGAGAGAACTGTGCAAAGTCCTGCCCCGGAAAAATATCCAAATACAAAGCATCCCTAAAGCTGCAAATGTGATTTTTCAAGGGGAGCACTAACCAATCCAAAATAGGCTGAATACCTTTTCAACTGCTTCCTCACTAGAAGGGAATTTGTCTTGTTTTTATTAGCCCTCATCTACCTTATTACTATCTCCAGACACTACTTTAGAACTGAAAAGACAGAACTGATGGTCATCCACACACTGGCATTGAATTCCCAGACAAACTCTCTCATGTAGATGTTAAATAACAGAATGGATGAGATCAAACTCTAAAGTACAGCATACACAATCAGCCAGGACCTTGAACTAGAGCCTCTCACAAAAAGTTTTTCTTTTTTTCCCCTCACTGTACAGATGTCTTCCCCTTCTATGCTACACAGTGGCACTAAAACTTCCCAAGGTCAGGGCTGGCTGCCAGACCCAAACTAAAGTGTTTTACTGAGCTACAGTAGAGCAGTGGTTCCCAACCTTGGGTAATCCAAGTGTTCTTAGATTTTAACTCTCATAAATCCTGGCCAGCACAGAGGTGAAGGCTTCTGGGAGTTGCAGTTCAAGAACACCCGGGTTACCCAAGGTTCAAAACCACTGCTGTAGGGTGTTGAGTTAAAGGAAAATAGGAGAGGGGAAACATCCTTTTCCCACAAGGTTTACCATTCTAGTTTAAGGAAATTACTGGAATTCACTTCGTAGCTGAATGCTACAGCCAGGAATACTTTTGTCCAGTTCAAGTTGGTGTATTGAATACATTTATTGATGAATTTTGACCTCGTGATGATGCCACATATTACAGTTATATCTATCATGGATAACTATAACACTCTCTACATGGGGCTCCTATCAGGAGCCTTTGGAATAATCCACAGTTGGTCTAGATTACACACAAACCATAAAGCTAATCTCCGGATTGCCTCATTTCACTGCCAGGCATATAAGCACACTGTATCAAGTGCAGGGAAGACAAGGGAGAATGCAAATCCCGTGCACATAGAAGTAGCATGTCAGAATGCTTCTCTCCAATTTGCCTCTTCTGTATGCAACAATTCTCTCTACAGAAAAGGATTCTGCCAGTGTCAACCCCAGCTACAATCTAAAGCTGTACCCTTGAACACCATCTCAATAAAAACATGAGAATAATAGTGTTCATACAAGCAAAAGCATAACAAGATGTTCCCAGTACATCCACAAGCAAGTACTAGGTACTTTGGTATGCTGTGTCTGAGTAAACCCATGTTAAGTAAAACCATAAATACTGCAATGATTGCAGGTGATAAAACTAGATGAAATTAAACAGCATACTATTTATATTACGCGATGAATAATTAGAGCCAGTAAAGATATGATCTGCATGTACAAGTGTATAAAGTATAAAATAGAAAAGCTACTTGTAACTGGTCTATGGTTTAGAATAACTTTTAAAAAAACTGTTCAACTATACTCTATCTGTCTTTCAACACAATTATGTTGTCCAAGCCATACTGATTATACTAATTGCATTGGAGATGTCATATGCTATTATGTGACAATTTAGTCATACAGTATTAAATATTAAAGAATTCTGGTCAGACTGTGCAATGAAGCAGCACAGTACTGACAAACAAGGTTTCCAGTATCTGAAGTCTTTGTTTGTTAATGAAGCTCAGCTCTTTTTCCTCAGCTCTCTGCATTACATAGTAAGACCATACAAAATTTCAGCATAACCAAAAGCTATAGGTAATTTCCTGTTCCAAAATCAATGAGACCTACACATAACTGGAAAGATAACTCTGGCTATATGATACTAAAATTAAAATTGTGTTATAACTAGGTAAAAGAAATGTGTATGGACACACTGAAGTGAATTTTTGCTGTGCCAAAGGCTTGCACACAAGAGTTTGAAAGATATACTCTATTGTTTTACCACTATGAACACCTTCTAGTTTTCTTCAAGCCAGAGTTGTCAGAAAGTTGTTTGTGAAGAACTTATAAAAGTATATCATAATTTTGCCTCTAATACGCATAGGTAACTCAGTATCTGGATAAACTTTTCGCAGAATGGTGGTGTAAAGATGGGATAGCTACATGTTAATCTTTAATTCAAATCAAGTAACTGCTCACTAGATTGGAGCCAGTGACTCAAAGTACCATTAACCAATCTTGTATGCCTATATCATTGCCAACTTAAAAGTCCAGAGTACATTGACAAAGGCCAAATAAAGCCATTATTTCCCATAAAGTTTTACCAGATTCAATGCTTAACAACTGTACTGCGTGACTAAAGGAATAATTGCAAGTTATTAATAAAAGCTCCAGGGCTATTACCTATTGAGCTTCCACTGAGCAAAAAGTTCTGCCAATGTATGAATGTTGGATTGTGCTGTTTGTGGAAACTTTGTCACTTCCCAAATGCAACACTGTCAATGCAACACAAGCTCCAAAGGATAGTGGCTGAAAGGTCAATCAGCGAGAGGCATGCAAAGCAGAACTTCACTTGCTCTTCACTGACCTCAAGTACCATATAAATTCCAGAATACTGTACAACCAAAGGAAGGTCTCATGTCCTTATTTGCCCATCAACAACCAAAGTACTACTGATTCTTTTACAATATTCCTATGTAAACAGCACTCTTAAGCACACTACAGTTTCAAGTTACTTTGGGAACTCTGCTGCTTTGGGGATGGTGTCATCTTTAGCTAATTATTTTTAAAACTGATTTTTAAAGACACACTGTAGGAAGTGGTTTTAAAATTCTTGCAACTTCTCAATACTCCAGTCTTGTTTCCTCCAATGTTTTCCTGTAATGTGTTGTACATCTGTCCAACTCAGATTTTACTTCCCTAGACAAAACTGCTGAACATGCAGTAAAAATACAACAGCTGTTAGTTATGCGCTGGCAAGTTGGAACCAACTTCTAGCGACCTTAATAGAATTTTCAAGGTAAGTGAGATATTTAAAAAGTGGATTTATAAAGTTCTACTACCACAGTGATTTGAACCCTGGTTAAGGTTATAGTTAAAGTCCATCACTCTACCCATTACACCACACTGGGTACCTGCAACAGCTATGAAGCTTACAGAAATTCTTATAAACATAGCAAGGTATGCTTTGACAAGCGCAAAGCAACTGAAATGCTCACACAGACTTACAGAAGTTTGGCTGTGCTGCTTCAGAAAGCAAACTTTCAATGCCAGTCGTACAGTATTTTAATTAGTACAGATTTTCCTACACTATCAGAACTTGAGAATTTTACTAGAAACATATCAAATCCCCAATTACCTGAAGTTCTTGGGTTTTGTGAGCTTGTTCTTGCTTGATACTAGTTGTCATGCTCTCCTTCATCTCATCAAGTATTGAGTATAAGCCATCAAACTCCTCATCTAATTCAGCAATCACACTGGATGAATTAGCCTGGAAACAAGCATTTAGCTATGTATGAACTGTATAAAGTAGTGGAAACAACAGTAGGAAATACATAGACATACTATTGTAATACACTGCATTTCTTAAAAATAACGATGAAGACAAGGATATAGCAAGTCAGTGCTGACATACTGTATAAAAACAAAGCAGAGAACTCTATTGCTTTAGTATGTCTGGCCCAAATGCAGATTGAGAGATGTCAGAGATTTTAGCTTGCAGAATAACTGGATTACTAGTTTTTTAGACATAATATTTCATACATCTGCAATCAAACTTCTAAAGAGACAGAAAGATTGAATGTATTTTTAAGAAAGAAAGGTTTAATGTGCTTTCCTAATCAGCAAATGTAACCCTTCTCTTTTTCAAGGAGCACTAAGAAGCATACACGGGGTAACTCGAATGAATTTTCTCAGTCACCCTGTGAAATAGGCTAAGAAACAGCAAGCTTCATGGCTAAGCAGAATTTGAAGCTACCTTACCCCAGTTCGAGTTCAACATTATGTCTAATAGAAAAAGTGACTAATCCAAAACAAAGCAACAGCAAATGTGAATTTTATCAAATAAGACAGATGTGTACACATTCAGCAGCCATAGTAGAATCCACAAAACCTTTACAGTTATCACATGCAGAAGCTTTTTGCATGTACTGTATCTCACATACTGTTACTACCATTTACCAACCTTCGTAACACCTTCGAGATCAGCACATGCATGAAGCTGTGGCACGATACACTGCTGATAGTCAACTACTTATTATGCTCAGTCAGCAGTGTTGAGAAACCACCTGAAATCCTGTGAGACTTTTCCAAGTCTGTGGCAAAACAAAATGAGAGTTGGAGAAGTCTTCAAAAAAGCTTATACAAACCTCTATTAATATATGGCTTAGCTTTCCCATGTAAGTAGCTGCTACCTATATCAATCATACCAGCTGGATGCTGGTGACATCAGCAATCACTTTCAATCACTCTCTTTTCTGTATGAAATGTGGCATGTTCCCTCAGAAGACAATCCACCAGCAGTGCTCCACAGCTCAACTGACAGGGTGCCAACAGATTTCAAGTGTGGGAAGGGTATTGCACAGCATAGTAAGAGACCAGCTGGTGCAATGGATGTACACTGTGCACAACTCAGTAATGCAATAGTTATTCCAGTCTCTCAGCAATGGGGGCTTGGGAGGGGGCATTTACTTTGCCACTCTTCCCAGTCTTACTTCCTGAAACAGGCTCTTCACTGTGGAGTTAGGTCTGCACAGCTAAAGTTTATAACGAAAGAGTATGTGGACAGCAAATTTTACATATAGGCTTTAAGGCTCAAAAGCAGCCAAGCCATATTGTCCAAAATTTGGAAAGACTAAAGATACATGCATGAGTGCAACCATATAGCAGTCTTCCCATGCCAGCTGGCTCTGTATCACTTAATCAGTCATGCAGTTGGCCACATGTCTGATTCTACAGCCACTGCAAGATCATGCATGATGGGTGAACCTACTGGAAGAGGAAGGAATGCTTATGAGATCACTCTTTCACAATCATGTAAGAAAACAGGATTCTAGCCATTATTTTTGTTATTTGATATCATTTTTAACTTTGATTTGATTGCAATCTCCATTTTGAATTGTTTAATCATCAAAGCATAGAAAATTGATGCTACCTGCATATCTTACGTTACTGATGTTTCTTTCTCTTTCAGTCCTCTTTCATTTGAATCTAATCCATTTTTCTTATAATGTTTCACATATAAGCTGAATAGATAGGGATATACAATTCTCTGTATCATGTCCTAACAGCAGCCTCTTGTGTAGACAATAAGTTGCACAACAGGCAAAAAAAAAAAAAAGCTGTGGCACATCCATTTCTTTTAGAAGACAGTTATATGTTTTACCTTAATTTTGAAGTACAAATTGATTTGGGGGAATTTAAAAAGGTCCCGACTATTCTGGTGACGGAAAACTTCCTCTTTTTTTTTTTTTAATATATTTATTTAGGAACAGGGATAAAGGGTACAAAAAGAAAGAAGGGATAGAGAAGGGAAAATGGTTTTGGGGGATAGGAGAGCATAAAGTATAACATCATCCAATCAATTCATATTACTAATATATACCAACTTTTTGCTTTTTCACAGTTTGATTACCCTCCTGCTTTTATCTTATCATTTAATTTTAATTTTATTCTATGTTATTCCAACATTGTCTGGTAGCTGCTGTTCTTCTGAAATTGTCTAGTACACTCCAATCACCAAAGTATATTTACAATATGATACCTCGTTGCTCTTCCTCTATTGATTCCAGCTTGAACATACATTTCCTGCTCCATATATGGTCTGAGTCTTTGTTGCAAAATCTTAAGCATCACTATGTTTGTGTGGAAAATTAATGCAATGGTCCTATCTATAGTTGAGTTGCTGGACGTTTTGGTGTCTCTTTGAGACTGAAATGTATATTGAATATTTTCTGTTAGGCGGGAGCACTGTTTTGTTTTCCATAAGGGTTGATACATATTTTTGGCAGGATTTTGATAAATTCAGTCCCTATAGCTTGAAATAGTTCTATTAATATGCCAGTTGTGCCTGTGATTTATTTCTCCCAATTATTTTGACAGCAGCTTTCACGTCTCCATCAAACAGTCCTTCTTTGAAGAAATGTCATCTTTGTTTTCTTCAGCATTGTTTCCATCTTTTCCTTATTTCATCTTGAACAGATACGATAATCTCCTATTCATGTTTCACCATCTTTAATTATATTTATTTATACTCATATTCAAGTCACATTATTTGTTGAGACCTTAGACCAACTCCGTTCACTCTTAACAGCCACATCATTTTTTACTCTTTCATTTCCAGAATAAAACACTTTGTAATAATCAGTCCCATTCCAATGCACTCTAGTTCATTCACACTAAGTGCTGTAATGTTTAAATATTCCATCTCCTGTTGCCAATTTTTAGCTTACTTTGATTCATCTCACATCTCATGTTCCAATTATATGCTGCAGCTTCAGACTTCTCTTTTCACCCTGAATAGATGTGCATTCAAGAGAGGGTAAGCCTTGTAAATCAGCCTCCAAATATACTGATCTACAAGATCTTTTCTTGCCTGTTTCACACATAACAGTGGCAGGTGACGGCTGGAACTGCCCTGTTTGTACATTTTGGTTTTTTTCTAAGCACACCACAAAAAAATTCAGTTCCGAATCTACAGCAAAGAAGTACAGAGCACTGTGGGTAAGGGCTATGATCACTGTTCTTCTTCAGCCTGCTTCATTTCTATGCTGGACATACAGAAAACAAAACTTCACTATGTTGACCCAACATAGAAACGAAAACAGTTTGGAAGGGGACAAAGAGTGTTGTTCCTTTACCTCCAGCAAAGACAGGTTTTTCCAGTCTAAGTTTCAGGAAACAGCAGCATTTGTGCCTGGCTCTACTCCCCATCTCAATCTTTTGCCCTTTTAAAAGCTTTTCTTTTTTTATTAAAAAGAAGAGGTTATATTGCAAAACTTAATTCAACAAGACTGCAAAGTGAGACAGGGAATGTGTGAGAGAAACAGGGAGGTTCAAGACCTTGGAGGGTTCAACAGAAGCATTTCAGTTAATTAAGTACTTAATTATTGGGAGCCATCTGATAAGCTTGGTCATCTTGAAGAATGAAGGGGTTTTTGTTTTGTTTTGTTTTTTAGAAAGAAAGGGCATGAAAGAATTTTTCAGGATGCCTAGGCTAAGAGAAACCAATGCTGCCAGATGACTCAAGGTGCAAAGGAATGATTACAGACAAATGTATACAGCACCTGCTAAGAGACTGACTAAGAGAATAAACAAGCATCTGGATGGGATGCACCTTCCCTCTGCATGTCTGCTGTTTCCATGCTTGACACAAGGGAGGAAACTTCCTTGCCTGCATGCATGCCCAATAAGGAAATGCAATGCACTATTTGAGTAAGAATAAAACACTCCAAATTTCCATTCCAGCCTACTTGGCTTTCATGCTTGGCAGGGAGGAGACAAAGAGTCCTCTGTCCATGCCCATTATTTAAAAAATGCAGAAGATTAGTAGAAGGGCAAACTGCTCTGCCCTTACTCCGGCAGCCTAGTCATTCACTTGGCAGCAATTCCTAACCAGCTATGGTGACTAACTAGTGTCACCAGCAATGGTTACACTGCCGCAGCCACCACTGACGTCTGCCTCACTCATATTCAAGAATGCTAAATTATTTCAGAAGAGAAAGAAGCAGAAACATCCTCTTTAACTTCCCATGTCATCCAAACCCTTAATTTCCCACAGGCTAACTGGGAGAAGAAAGTCTCAAATCATGGACTACATCTGAGACAGAGAAGGCTTAGCTGAACAGTATCTAAGACGGAAAGTATTTGTCTTTTCCAACCTATTTGCATTTTTGGCACTTCAGTTAGAATCCACATACATTCTTTATATACAAGGAGAACCAAAATACAAGTGACCTCATCCAGCTTTCACAGTCCTGACTGGTTTGGCCCTTAATCCATCGAGTTTGAAGTGTAAAATTAAAAGAAATTGGCATCGTTTTATAGAAGCTTGATTTAATTGATCATAGTAGTTTACATAAACTTTACAACATACCTGTACACCTTTTAAAGTGTGATTCAGTGTTTCAATGAAATTCTGGATTTCATCATTCTTATGTGCCAGTGTAGAAATAATCCTCTGTAGAGCCTCCTAGAATTAGAAGAATAAATTCATTAAGATGCATATACTTCTTTCTTTATATATGACATACTATTAGCCTTCAAGTTAGTCATTAGTACATGCATTACAATTCATTTTGAAAATTAAACATGGAATCACAGAATCATAGAAAAGTGAAATTGGAAGGGGCCTCCCTGGTCAATATAGGAATACAATTAAAGCATATCTGTCAGGTGATTAAGTTTTTCTTGAATGCCTCCAGTTTTGGAGTACTCACCAACTCCCGAGGTAACTAGTTCCACTGTCTACTACTAAGCCTACACAGAACTGTGCTGGCAGACAAGCTAAAAAATTTTAAGTCAGTGATATATGTAAGTATATTTGTGACTAACTGAACAAGGAAAGAACCAAAGTCAAGTCCTGGGCAATTAACAAAATATTTACACAGACCTAACTTCACAAAGCTTTGACTCCAAATCACCCAGTCCTAGGAGAGACATCAACCAGAATTTTAGATCTTGATACATAGGGTTACATACTGTGATACTCCTTTGCCCCCATGGACTATATTTCCTCTGTCATCTGCCCACTCCTCTCTCCTCCCCATGTGTGCCCCAAATTTACTCCACAAAGAGAAAAGAAGAGCCTGAAGGAGATCTGAGGGAGAGATGGGGAAGGGAAGTTTGCCCTCTAGATTCCTCTAAAACTGCTGGTTTCTACTGACTTGAAGTAGCAATTTATGCCTAAAATGAAAATAAAATGTCAACTTTATAAATTAACATAAATGGCTTGCGGATAGTCAAAAGATTCATAAACAACCCTAACTGTATAAACTTTATCTCTGTCATATTTTGTTCTTTTAAACCCATGTTAAAATGCTTAAATGTGGGCTGTTTTAAAACAGGGCAATTCAACAACAACAACAACAACACAACTCAATGCACCGATTTCAAGCAGACTTTATACTAGTGGATCTTCATCTACTTCCTGAACAACAGTACAAAACTGACCACTAAACCAAGTTTTCCACTCAGCATTTGCAGTATTCTATTAGTTATTTCATTCTTAGGAAGTTTGCTTTTTCTCACTTTGCAGTATTTCCCACAACTTTTTAACCTAGAATGAATTTTCTAACATATTCTCTATGTAACATAGAATCTTTCTTGTAACCAGCTTGTGTTTTTTACATTTTGAGGTTAAATACACTGGAGAAAGGAACTAGTACAATGAACAATTATGTCTTCTACTTTCTGATGTACCTCTTTTCCCCTTTATTTTGCCTTTAGCAGGTATATCCTAATAAGAACAAATCAAAATGAAATGGCCATGACAGATAGCTAGAAAGAAAGCCTGATAAATAGTGGATAAACTAAAGCAATTTATTTTTGAAAGGTAAAAATATGTTTGGTGAATAATGTAAATATGTATATGTTAGAACAGAGGTCCCCAACCCCCGTCCGTGGCCTGGTGCCGGTTCGTGACCTGAGCTGGACTGGACCACAGAGACAGACCTCCCCACCATCCCTGCACATACTCCTCCCCACAGCTCCTTTGCACATGCAGGTGTGCCTACGCCCATGCGAGTGCTCCCCCACACCTTCACACATGCACACTCACATAGGTGCCCTCCCACTCCTTCGTGCATGTGCACGAGCCTGAGAGAGAAAGAGCGCCCGCTCCTTTGCGCATGAACGTGGGGGTGCCCCGCCTTCGCACAGGGTTAAAAAGGGTGGGGACCACTGTGTTAAAATGTATCAAACTTGATTGTCTTTTACATGGAAAAGCCTGTTTCCATGCAATATATTTAGTAGAAACACTGCTATAGTTCACAAACTTCAGGGCTTACATGTTTATACTCAAAATGCAATAACATCTTGTTACTATTTAAGATAAATTATGTATTTAGTTTTTCTTAGAAATTAAAAAACTTTTCATTTCACTAATATTTGAATTTTATTTTTGTCCACTATGCTACATTTAATAATTTCTCATCTAAGACATATTGTGTCATCAAAGTGCATTTAGTTTCCAATTCAACATACTGCTCCTGACTGGCATTACTGTTTGCATCCGTTTGACCACAATGCCTTAGTTTCAGCTGACGCACTGCTTTTACCACCAGCCAGACCTACAGCTGATGGCCTCCAGCTAAGCCTTAGATCTTATAAATGTAACTGTCAGTTTGTGTAACTCACAAAAACCTCCCCTTAGTTTGACTGAACACATTTAGCTTTACCATACGAAAAACATTTTATATCTCTGAAAAGAGAAGCAACAGCTAATTTGAGGGCAAAGGTTTCTATCTGAGAGGTGCCAAGCAAGTTCACTATACAGCCACTCCTAAAATACAAACATACCATGCTGTGCTATTTTCACTTACCAACTATCTCACTATAAACAAAGTTTGAAAATAATGAGTAAGCTAGACTAAAAGATGTCTCATCAACTGAAATAGAATCTGGAAATGCACCTTTAATAATGTTTAAAACATTTATCACATATGAAAATTGACATTGTTATTTTGTTTATCTAATTTAATGTAAGCACAATGTCTCCCCACCATCCCAACCAGGTATACAATTCTATTAAATTGACCCAGTAGCATTTTATTAACTGTCTTGGCATTAAAGCAGGGTATTTTAATTAGCTTAACACAGAAGATACTGCAACCCACAAAAATCAGACAGCTTGGCAGAAGGGGATTGTACAATTAACAGGCCTGCTAATATTACCAGAATCTGCCCATTTTTGTGATAGGGGATATACATAATATTTGTATTACTTATGCATTATGCTAGTAAAAAAGTGGGAATTCATTTGAGAAATCCAAAAACCATAATCAAAGTCTTAATCAACCATGTAAGCAGCTTGAACTTACAGCTGAAGTTCCAATTCCAAATACTCAATCAGAATGTGAAGTTCTCCTGATTTTACTTTAAACCAATCTTTAACAGTAGTCCATATTCACCATCTCTTAGAACAGCACTCATCAACCCCCGGTTCGTGGCCCAGTGCTGGTCCCTGGTCTGAGCCGGACAAGGCCGCGAAGACATACCTCCAGGCCCCCCCGCACACACTCCCGCACGCACGCCCCCCCCCACACTCCCCCCAGCTGCTTTGCGCACGCGCGCACACACACACACGTGCCAGCCCCGGCGTGAGCGCTCCTTCACCCTTTCAGGCATGCACCCGCATGCGCAAAGCAGCTGTGGGGGAGGGAGGGAGTGCGGGGGGAAGGTCTCTCTTTGTGGCGAGGCAGTGGCGGCAATGGCAACGGGGGTTGCCCAGAGCCGGGAGGCTGAGCATAGCCGGGTGCTCTAGCTGCTCGCCTCCCGGAGGGCTCCAACAAGGCCAGGGTGGGCACTTCTTGCCACCCTCAGCAGTTCTCCTTCCCTCCTCAATCCACCAGCCTTCCCGAGGCCCCCTTCCTGTAGGAGACACCAGGACCCAGGTGCGAGGTGAGGCAGTGCCAGGCTGTGTCAGGCAGGCTCTGTGAATGCAACGTCGAGCGGGTGGGAAACGGGCGCCACTTAACAGGAGGGAAGAGTCATCGTCATCAGCACCAGCTCTGTGAATGCAACGTCGAGCGGGTGGGGAACGGGCGCCACTTAACAGGAGGGAGGGAAGAGGCATCGTCGTCAGCACCAGCGGCGGGCAAAATAGGGTGAGTGGAGGTGAAGGGGCTCTCCAGGAATCCTCTCCCCACCACCCTCGCAACAGCAGCGCTGGGACCGAATGGAGAGTGTCTCTCTCTCTCTCTCAGAGGGGGCAACTGGGGGAGATGAACAGTCTCAAAGCCATGCCTAGAGCCGTGAGGAGGAGGAGGGGAGAGGAGGGGAGGGGAGGGGAGGAAGCCTAAAGGCCCCCATTCCACCCTCATGGTCCATGTCTTTTATATTTGTTGTTGTTCCATTTTTCTCCTTCCAAGCCTTGGTGAAAGTTTCCTTGATGTCCGAGCTGAGGAGGGAGTTGGGAATTATTCTCATGTCGCATAATTCCCTTCTCGCCTTTTCATCTATAGATCTTCTCCCTGTTTCTCTTCACCCCCTTCTTCCCGGTGGACTTTGAACCTCCTCTACTCCTCCTCCCTGTCGTCTTCCAGCATCTCCCGCCCGCCTTGACATCCCCCTCCTTTTATCATCTAAACACCCACATTCGTTTGGCTTGCCTTCCTTCCTTCTGAAGGTGCCCCAAATTTGTAGTTTTCCCTACAGAATTACAGCAACCC